CCTCGGGTTCACTTCTCCGCACGTCCTACCTTCCAGAAAGTGGTCGCTTTTCTGTTCAGAGAGTTGTTGCTATTCCTTTCTTCGATCTCCTGTTGAGTTTGTAGGTGTTCAGAATGGTTTGATCCCCATCCAGCTGAATTCCTGAGAGGAGACGAAATCCAGGTCTCCTACTCCTCCGCCATCTTGCTCCGCCCCCCCAAACCTGCAGATTCTTACAGCATTAAGCTGGCTCTCTAGGCAAAGGGTGAGCTGTTTACACGATTCATCTAAGAATGGATTTAATTTCTCCCTCAAATTAATATTTTCACTTTTACAGAGAAGACACATTTTCTAAGATTGAAGATAAATCCCATTTTGTGAATTATTCTGCCTTCTTTTTCATGTTCATGTGTTGGGAAGATTACTATTTATTCATAGATTTGCAAAGAGAAAAAATCTTAAACTCAGAATTAATCACTATGTGGATCAATTCCTCATGCTTCTTAAGTTTTTAAAACTATTCAGGTAAATGGGAAGCACTTGTCTTAATCATTACTGCTATATTATTCTGCTCTTTATCAGTTGGTTTCTAGATTTATAAACATAGCTAAGTTTTATTTTTTATTTTTTAAATTCAATTAGCCAAAATATAGCACATTATTAGTTTCAGATGTAGAGTTCAAAAATTCATCAGTTGCATATAACACTCAGTGTTCATCATATCACATGCCCTCCTTAATGCCCATCATCCAATTACCACCCCCAGCCAACTCCCCTCCAGCAACCCTCACTTTGTATGTTTTAAAAGACATGTAGCTAGAAATTTTGAAATAGGTTGTGAAATGTTTGCACATAACATTACTGACATTCACAGTGCAACATTCTGAAAACAGTTTGGCTCTATGGAGCTAAGTTCAGACTCTTTTATTATACCTCCATGTCTGTACATTTATATTAAGGAAATCATTTCAGCAAAGCAAAAGCAGGAACCAAACAAAAACCCTGTAATACAGTTTTTCTTTACATCGCTGACCATGATATCTAATATAATAGAAATTACCCAAATGCTTAACATACGAATTGTTTAGCAAATCATTGTTCTTCTACAGAGTATGCTGTAATATATTAAAATGATAATAGGAAGATTTGGAAACAGAATAGCAGACATAAAATAGTATACCCATTATAATAACTCTTTATTATCTATCTAGTACCGGAAACACACAAACATGAAAATAATTGCTGGAGGCTAGTGGGCTTACGGACACATAAAAAAAACGAATGATGTTCTTAATTTTATCATAATTAACAAGTTAAAGTTTTCCCCTATTACCAAAAAAGCTCTGCATTGATTTGTTTGCCATAATACAATGTTTTCCATTTAAAAAATCTTCTTTAGAATTCCAATTTAATATGCATCGTGTAGATGCCAGCATATCTAATTTTATAGACAGTAATGGGCCATATTTTCCCCACGTCCAAGGGATGCTGTAATTTGGAATTCAGCACCTCTGTAAACTATACTCTTCCGATTGTACTTGCTCATCTTTAGCAAGTTACAGCCTCAAAAACATAAATGCATCTATATGACCAATGTTCCAACACTGGGTTAACTAGCAAACTATTGACATGTTGGATAAGCCCACTTCACTGTGGAGTCTGCAAATAGTTAGGATTTTATCTCTTATTTTAAAAAATCAAAGCTTGAATAGGAAAAAGAGCAAACAATGACAGAGATTCATCAAGATTACAATGTGCTAAATGGAGAGGCTTCCTATGAAAGGCAGCAGTTTGCACACATTTTTCTCTGCTCCCAAAATGAGAGGTCGCTGTTCTACAGTTTTCCTCGAGAAGACAACAGTGCAGAGGCCCAGAGAACAATCGGTCTGAATTAGAGCAGGAGGACAGAGGGCCCAGGAAGGAGAAATCCAAGAGAAATAAACCCGACGTGTTTGAATATATTGGGAAGTTATCAGTTTTCTCAGAGCTTTATAATTAACTGGTAATAGGCACATAGAACACAAAGCAAATAAGAAGAGAGGGTGCCTCAAGGGAAACAAAAGTTACATAGCTGCAAATAATATTTGCCTAGTCATCACATGAACAATCAACTGACTTGACCGAAAGTGGAGAAACTAAGTGTATCTCAAGGATGAGCTGGAGGTAAGTGTATGGAGAAGGAGATGGACAGGTTATGGAAAATCTTTATCCCACAGAGTCAGGAATCAAGAGAAAAACATCCCAAACTGAAAACCAGGAAACACCAAAGTAAGCATGCTGTTTAGAAAAACAGCAATAATACCAGAAGGAATAGCCCACAGAGATGAAAGTAAGTGCTCCCGAAGAGCTGGAAAGAATGGACAGGGATATATTTTTCACTATAAGCTTAATGAATGCAGTTTGACTTTCAATGTGAGCACAGGCTTCACTCTGATTTAAATTAAATTTAAAAAAGAATAACACAGGAGATGGGGTCACATAGGGAAACAAAAATAACCATGACCCAACTGAGCAGAGAACCCACTGTGAACTGAATGGATATTTAGATAAACTACACGTAGCATCACAAAAGAATTAAATAATTCAAGAGCAGGAAATTCCTTCCATTGCCTAGAGCCACTTAATTATCCAAAACTTAGCCAATTTCTTTCTGCCTTGTGGGGATAAAAACAGTAGGATGAAATGATAGTTCAAGACATTATGTATTTCACAAGTTTTAAAACCAAATTAATAGTACAAGAGAATATCTATTTAAGAATTTATTTCAGGGCACCTGGATTGCTCAGTCATTTAAGTGTCTGCCTTCGGCTCATATCATGATCTCAGGGTCCTGGGATGGAGCCCCACATCAGGCTCCCTGCTCACCAGGGAGCCTGCTTCTCCCTCTCCCTCTGTGTTCTCTCTCTCTCCCACTCTCGCTCTTTCTCTCTCAAATAAATAAATAAATCTTTTTTAAAAAAAGAATTTATGTCAAATCCTAAACATTTTGTGAGAAATAATATTTTACTTGGTGTCAACAAAACCTGTTTGGATTTTTGAGACTTGGAATTTCTCAATATCCACAGTTTTCTAACCTGTTTGGTCTGAAGACTAGAGGTTCCATCTTCTTTTGTACCTAGGAGGTCAGAAGTCATTGCCCAACACACACACACACACACACACACACACACACACACACACACAAGCTCAGAGTTGACATAAATCAATCTTTGACTTTTCCTCCATCTCTAAATCATGAGAATGCTAGAAAAAAATACCAGCAGAGCATGACCACACTGCGATGGAGGGAAGTCTACATAATAAATTTATTTTGTGAAAAAATTTCCAAGAGCATCCTGATCTTTGTATTTGAATCCTGTCTCCACTGATTATTAGCCATGTGGTCTCTGACAAGTTTTGCTAAATCTATATCTTCTCTCTTATCTGTAAAAGGTAACCAATTTTGCTCCTAACTCCTGGGGTTGTATAAGGGTTACTTGAGGTGTTAGAAATAAAGGTGTAGCACAGCGGCTGGGTGCTAGATAATTGCTTAGTAAAATACAGTTCCCCGGCAGAGATGGCCCCTATCCCACCCTCAAATCACACCCTTCCCATTTGGATAAATGCAAAAGCTCAATCTTTTTTCATCGTGTAGGGACTATGAGATCCCCTGGAGCACCCATAGGAAGTCCCAAGTCTTTAAATGGAAAGATCATTATTTCAGAGGTAAAACCATTCACTAAGATATTATTAGCTTTTTTGCAACCTAAATGAAAGATTATACTAGGTTGGAGGGGAAGCAGAGAACCATATAAACTTTTTCTTCTTCATGGAAAAGGTCTCGATGAAAACTTCTCAGTGATCTTCCTGCCACCTCAGACAGCCCAACCAGAACTCCCCTGGACCTCAGAGAGAACTATTTAAAGTGGCCATATCTGTGGAATAAGAAGCAAGTCTTTCCAGAAAACACTGACCTTCAGCCCTGGCACACCTCGTCTTCCTCTTGACCCCTATGAATAGAAGGAAAGCAAAGACCTTAGAGAAGGAAACAAGCCAACTTTCCCCACAGCTGACCTCTCTCCTCCACAAAAGCAGGTGAAATACAACCCATGAGTGATTGTACTAACCTGAGGGCCAACATTTCCAGGTTCCCCCTGAGGTCCATCGAAACTAGAACGTCCCTGAAAAGGAAGAAGTAAAGGGAATATGAATTTAGATGTCTACATCCTTCTGGATTTGTTCTTCTGACATGAGCTCTCCAATACAGAAGCCACTAGCCACAGGTGGCTATCAATTTTAAATTCGTTAAAATTAAATTAAATTAAAAATGTAGTTTCTCAGTTATACTATCCGCATTTCAAGTGTCCAGTAACTCCACATGGCTAGTGGCTACCATATTAGACAGCACAGATACAGGATATTGGATCTCAGAAAGTTCTATTGGTCAGTACTTCTCTAGAAGCAAAAGGATTAATTCTGGTGTTTTAAAATAGCCATGTTGCAGGCACCTTTTCCCAAAGATTGTTCATGTAACAACTCTTCAGGGTTCCTCATGCTGGGACACTATTCTCCAATAACCTGTGCTTAATATTTGAAAAATATCGGTACTTCCCTTTCTACCCACCATATAGGATGCAGAGTAGCAGACAGAAACAGAACGCAGAGGAGCAAGTCTCTGCACGTGCAGACTGATCAATATAGACAGATGATGACAGAGGGAGAAGTTACACATAGTCAGGACGAGGAAACCCTCTAGTGCTTTCACTTCTTTAAGGTCAGAAATGAGAAGAGGAGTGATGTCCAGAGAAAATGAGTCCATCTTTCAGGAGAAATGGAAACCACCTTGGATCCCAAGTAGGGATATTTTAGATACTCAGTAAAGTCACATGCTAACTCAGTAAGAACACATAAACAGGGAAAGAATGTGAAATACAGAAATAAAAACATTTGTGCAAAGCTGTTCTTCCAACTGTTATTTATAATAGATTAAATTCTGAAACAATATAAATATCCCACAATATGAGGGAAGTGTTGATAAAATTATGGTAGAAACACTTATTGAAAGAGTATGCAACCATTAAAAATTATGTTTCTCAAAAAGCTTATGAAGGAGAAAAAATGTGTCATTACATTCTTTTCAAGTATGTTAAATTCTCTGAAAGAATAATTTATCCCAAATATGGAGAAAGACAAAACGATGTTTCCTCATTTCTTTATACTGTATGCAACATGTTTTAATAAGCCCGGGGGATCCTTATCTGACTTTCTCAGGGAGAGTAGCTTTACCATCACCAAGTTAGGAAAGTTCGGTAAACTGATGTTTTTCTTGGCTACCAGAACTATTAATTTTTTCTCTACATTTTACTTTTCTGTATTCCAAATATCTGTAGTGTTACCTTTTTTTAAGATTTATTTATTTATTTGAGAGAGAGAAATGAGGGGCAGAGGGAGAAAGAGAATCCTGGAGCAGACTCCCCGCTGAGCTCGGAGCCCGACACGGGGCTGGATCCCAAGACCCCGAGATCGTGGCCTGAGCCGAAATCAAGAGTCCGACGCTTAACCGACTGAGCCACCCAGGTGCCCCAGCAGTGTTACTTTTATAATGGGAATTTTTTATAGATATATAGTAGGCTGTATGAGAGAGGAGGCTTCAGACAAGGCACTCTCATGATTGGTCTAGATATAAAAAAGATTCTTAAAATGCTTATCATTTTCTCATTTCAAAAGTAGACAGTTTTTTGCAGCCAGCATAGCAAAGGAATCATTTTGGCAGATGTTGGAATCATTGGGTAAAAGACTGTCGGGGAAACAAGAAATTTACAGGTTCGGAGTATCATTGCCAGATTACTTGATCATTACAAGGAGGGAAAAAGTATATTTACAATGGATAAGTCTGGCGAACCTCATCTTCATCAAGTGACCAAATTAATCTACCAGTAATTAGACAGCCAGGCACAGTGTCCCTCCTGGTGACTAAGAAGGGTACTGCCTAGGGATGTCAGGGTGGCTCAGTCTGTTAAGCATCTGCCTTCCGCGTGGGTCATGAGCCCAGGGTCCTAGGATCGAGCCCCCCATTGGGCTCCCTGTTCAACAGGGAGTCCGCTTCTCCCTCTCCCTCTGCCCCTCCCCATGCTTGTGCTCTCCCTCTCTCTCTCTCTCTCCCTCTCTCGCTCTTGCTCTCGCTCTCTGGCAAATAAATAAATAAATAAATAATCTTAAAAAAAAAAAAAAAGAAAGGTACCACCTTCCTTAATCTGCCAAAAACGCTTAACCTGAATCTAGTCATGAGGAAACAGTCAGACAAATCCTAATTGAGGGATGTTTAGCAAAATAACTGGTCAGAAATGTCAATGTCATTTGACAAACAAATAACTGGACAACAGCTGTGATTGAAGAATACAACTGAGGCAAGACAACTAAATATGCCACGTAGTCCTTGATTGGGTCTCAGAACAACAACAATAAACATAGACATGAAGGGCATCATTGGGGCAAGTGTGGAAATCTTAATATTAGACTGCATATTAGAAAATAATTTTGTGCCATATTTTATTTTTTTGAGTGTGATGACTGTATTATGTTTATATAAGAGAATGTACTTGTTCTTAAAAGATACTTGTTGAATATTTGGAAGAGAAATGTTGTAAGACCTTCAATTAACCCTTGATTAATTAAATAATTAACTAATCAAATGGCTCAGCAAAATATTTCAAATATTACCTATGTATTTGTATAGAGAGACATAAAGTAAATATGGCTAAATGCTAACAATTGGTGTTCACTATGCCGTTCTTGCAACTACAACTTTTTCTGTAGATTTAAAATTTTTCAAAATGAAAAGTTGGGGTAAGAAATAATACAAGTTCATCATAGAATATTTCAACAATTCAGAGAATAAGGTTAAGAAAAAAACGCATAAGTTCTGGGTGTTTATCCTTCCAGAATAGATAGATATAGCTACATTCTATCAATTTGGACTCTTGCTGAATACAGGTTTTGTATTCCCAGTTAATATTACATCATGAATGTTTTCCTTGTTATGAAATAGTCTTCTAAACTATTTTTCATGGCTTAGTAATATTTGATCGTGTGCCATTGTTTATATAAACAATCCCTTATCATCGGACATTCAAGCAGTGTAGTGATTTAAAATCTAATAATCTAATCTCCATCCTTGGAGCTAAATTTTTGTGTTGGTCCATGATTAGCTTCGAGATAAATTTCTAGAATGGGAAAGACTGGATCAAAGAACATACGCACCTTAATCCGTGGCAGACACAGTTGGGGGCTACACAATTCTCTTGCCCCTTTCTTTCTTGCTAAGAAAATCTGTTTCATTTGGGACACCACGCCCAGCTCCAAGGGATAAATTCTGACAGGTCTGAACCAGTCACGGAAATCTCATTCCCTCTGTCAGAAACTTGCTTCTCTGGGTCCCTTAAAATGAGGCAAGGGCAGGTGGGGAGCACAGGAGCCAGTCAATGAGCCAAATGAGCCCAGAAGAGAATATTGCTGGCAGTACCCTGATGAAAGGAAAGCGCCTTTCCTTCTGGCATTTTATGTAAAAATTAAGACAAAATGCTTGGGCTGCTAAGCCCAGGGACCACACTGAGGATGGCACCGTGGAAGAAAGGGGCTGAGTCCCTGATGACATCCCTGGCTTTTGATGACATCATTGAGCTAGTGTACCAAACCAGAAATCACCTTTCCCTGGATTATCAAAAACATGTTTATTAGCTAAACACTGCCAGTCAGGCTTTGTCACTCATATATTAAAATAAAAAATTGTATATTAAAATATATAAACCCATGTTTATTAAAACATATAAACAACAAACAGCAGTCCTAGCGGATGTATGTTGCCAGATTGCCTTCCAAAAGGGTTGTATTGGTTTTCCTTCTCAGAAGTGGAAAAGCATGATGGGTTTTCCATCCCTTCCCCCATACTGGGTGTACAATAAAGTTTCTGTTTCACTTAAAAGACTGCTTCGGGACGCCTGGGTGGCTCAGTCGGTTAAGCGTCTGCCTTCGGCTCAGGTCATGATCCCAGGGGCCTGGGATCGAGCCCCACATCGGGCTTCCTGCTCAGCAGGGAGCCTGTTTCTCCCTCTCCTTCTGCTGCTCCCCCTGCTAGTGTTCTCTCTCTGTGTGTGTGTCAAATAAATAAATAAAAAATAAAAAAATAAAAGACTGCTTCATTTGGGGGACTGTCTCCATCCAAACTGCAACACAGAATCTGCTCTTTGGTCCAACTCAGAAACAAATACAGGTATCCTCCCTCTTTAAAAGTATGTGTTCATACTTTTTTCAAAAATATTTGAATTTCAAAAGAAATTCAAGGAGGATTTTCACTTTTACAGAAAAGGGCGAAAAGTGAAAACAGCACTCAGCATGTGTTTTGCCACCGAGGCTTACAAAGGCAGCGCGCCCTCCAAACAGTGAGAGGCCCCGCCAAGCCACGCTCGCTCCCTGCCAGGGGACCACACTCAGCATCATCTCAGCATCCAGCCGCCATAGCTTTGAACTCTGAGCATCCGTGCATCTCAATTTATTTTGTGCATCCCTTATGAAGATGTGTCCTAAGGTATCAGGAAAGCCAAAGAGAGGTTATTTTTGGGGTCTGGGAACACTTAAAAATATTTCTGTAGAAATTAATGGTAATTGCTTCTTCGCTTACTCCATTTCTGTTTATGATTGGTTTCGTAGGAACGCTCTGCTTGTGCTTCGAGATAGCCAAGGAAACCTGTACCGAGGAAAGACTGCCCCCTTGAGGTTTATCTTCTAATGGCACTTAACAGGCTAGAATTTCAGCTTCCGCAGCCGCAGGCTTATGTAATCGGTGAGAGTGACTTTTATTACCCAAGGCTATTCAGAGAATACTAAGCACCCTTCTTTGAGCTCAGCATGGGAGTAGAAACCACGTAGAACACAAGTGCAGTATAACGTGGCACCACTTCAGAGGGTCACAATTTTGGTTTGCACACACAATTCAGGGATCTGCTGTTCCAAGTTAACCCTTAGCTATAAAGTCAGCAATGGAGACAGACCTCTGAAAACTGTGAGCAGGACGTTCTCCCCATCGCTGTGATGCACACAGTACTGGACAGTTTGTCTAGAGGCCAAAGTTCTTTCCTAGCTGTAAAACCACGAGCAAACCATGGAAACAAAGCTCAACTCATATACCTTCCTTCCCATGACAACCATTAACTCATGGAAACTCTGAAATGGTTTCTCTAACCTTCCCACCTTGCAGATGAGGAAACCAGGGCCCAGACGGGTTAAGAACTGCCCTGCTGTTCTCTTAGCTCAATCTCATAACTGATTGAGTAGCGATTCACAGGGCTCTCTGATCTCAACTCACCCTAGAGAACCCTCTCAATGGATTTTGTCCAAAATAACTGTAATTAACAACACAATGAGAAATTCTTGCAGTAAGGAGTGACAACTTTCTGGCATAGCTACATAATACTGATCCTGTTACAAACTGGATTTTACTCAGGTTCTGGACATATATAAAATGGATGTGAATGAGTCACAACTTAGGGAAGAGAATCAACATCCTAAAGTTTTGTCAAAGGAGGCAAACTGGAGTCCAAAGCAAACAGAGGTTGTAAAAATTTTGCTGTGCAGACCCTGTTTCTGGAAATTGGGAATGATGAGATGTAAGGACTGAGACACTGGGTTACTTTAGTCCCATTTTTCAGTCGTGCATTTTAATGACTAGGACATAAAACATCTAAATATGGCTTCCAGCCAGTTAGCAGCATCTGCGAAGTTAACAAGCCTTCCACCTTTGGTGAGATCTTCTGTCATGACACTTCCAATCTTCCAAGCTAAACAAGGATCTTATCTTTAAAAATGGTTAGTACTCGATTCACATCAATCAACATTGGCAGTGGTGGAAAGCAAGTCAGCGGTGTAATGGCCTGACCGCTTTTAAATCAAGACATCATTATGAAACTGGAGAATTTTTAAACTGAAAAGATCTTAGGCATCACTGAGCCTGATGCTTTCATTTTGGAGATGAAGAAACCAAGGATAAAGGAGACTAAGTAATTTGTGTTACTAGTGCTGTGGGAAATGAGATTTTTTTCAGGAAAAAAGAAATGACTAGACAAGAATGCAAGGACGAGGCTATAAGTGGAGATTAGCATTCAGAGCTCCTGTCTCCACGGGCAGTGGAGTCCCACAGGTTTGCTCTCTATGCTGATCCAGTCAGAACGCTCAAGCCTTCTTCACCAGCTACATCTTTCCCACATGTACCAGCATCCCCAAACAAACAGAGACCATCTTACCCAATGTCCACGCCTTCCTTTTTCTCCCTTAGGGCCTTGGATGTAACTATCTGCTCCAGGATCTCCCTGAGAAAAGAAAAGGTTGCTTACCTCAAATGGATGGGAAAGATAGGAAAAGAAATTAGAGGAAATATGATTTTTTTAAAGGCACCAAAGTAGACTTTTTAATTGTCTGGGCCTGCTCAGAAATCCCGAATACCCAATGCAATTAAAGTTGTGAACTCTTTAAGAACCCAAATGTTCTATAAGATGGTCTTCTCACAAATCTCTTATTTGTTGCAAGGCTAAGATAGGCTGAACAGATGTCTCATGATGAATAATTAATTGCTGTCTTTGTGTCTAAGCAAACTGTTTATAAGTTCCTGGATTAAAACAGAATCCTTCAACCAGCACTTACAGGGTCTCCCCTTAACCCAGGCTCTCCGTGCTCTCCAGGAGGTCCAGGTGGTCCTGTCAAGCCCTTAAATCACAGGAAAAAAACATGTGTCACTTTAAAAGATCCTTTATTGCCTAAAGGAAAGAGAACATTAAGAGGGAAAATGAGAATCACATTAAAAGACCAATTTAGTACTTGAACTTTAAAGCATTTGCAGCTAAAAAGGTGAGGTTGCGATGCAGAAAAGAGCATACTTTTTATTGGAAGTCTGTGATATATGTGTCCCTAGGTGGGCATTACCTCACTAAACCCTTACAACTCAAGAATTCCATATTGCATGCAAGTAAGCTAAGGCTCAGGGAAGTTGGACCCACCTCTCCCTACTACCAAGTCCCTGATCTTTCCACTTCTCCCTGATACTGCTACACAGAAACACACATAAGAAGAAGGTTTCCCTACCACAGACATGGGCAGCACTGACACAGCAAGATCTCATGACAAAGGGGCAAAAAGAGAGAAAAATATTTCTGGAGCTCCTACTATAGAAAGGGAACCAGTGAGGTGAAGCAACTTGCCATAAGACTATGACGTGATAAGCAAATGGTTGCCTCTCTTACAACCTGCTGTTAATGGTACCCCTTCTGTGTAGTAGTTCCTGCAGAGTAGGGAAGAGCCCCCACCCCAGGAACCTTCCTCAAATTGTGTTATGTGCCTGGTTCTAGACGGTATATGCCACATTCTGAGCATAATGAAGTGGGACCCATCTCTGAGATCTGGTTCTCAGACACACTGGGAATGGAATGTTCTCTAGGCTCTAAAAAAAAAATGCTAATTCTTTTTTTTTTTTTTAAGATTTTATTTATTTATTTGACAGAGAGAGAGAGAGACAGCGAGAGAGGGAACACAAGCAGGGGGAGTGGAGGAGGGAGAAGCAGGCCTCCCGCCGAGCAGGGAGCCCGATGCAGGGCTCAATCCCAGGACCCCGGGATCATGACCTGAGCCGAAGGCAGACGCTTAACAACTGAGCCACCCAGGCACCCCATGCTACTTCTTATTATTACTTGTAACTCCACCTTACGTCTTTCCTCGCCTGATATAATGATAAAAGGGAGTTGCTTAATACTAAATTCCAACCCTGCTATCCAATTTACTAGCTAGGCAAATTTCTTTGACTTCTCTAAGATTCAATTTTTTTATTTGTGAAACAGATATACCCATTTTATCAGGCTATTATGGAAATTAAATGGAATAATAAATTAAAATGCTGAGTACAGAGCCTGGTATTTGGTTCTTATTATGATGTGCCCAACTTTCTAAGTGTTTTGCTAGATACGCTCTATGAGTAAGAAGCCCTTAACATGCGTTTATTGAATTTAACTAAATTAGATGGAAACTGAAGGCTCTCTGGTCTTGAAAGAAGTGTAGTGTCCCCCCACCTTCTCCAAAATCTAATCTCCAAATTGCAGCTTATCAATTAAACCTACCCCAATAAAGAACCCTTTCTTGTGACTCCTTGTTTTACTTATCAGGAAATCAATCCACACCTTGGGGAAAAGCATTACTCTAATTCCATAAGGGGCACACAAAAACATAACCCCACCCCTTATCTAATCCAGTCAATCAACAGAAGCTGATTATAACAGTTCTGAGATGGATCCCTCTGGCTGGATTCCATAATTGCTTAATAATATCTGCCTTGGGCACAGGAAGGCAGAGCTGTGGTACATGCACCAGGCATCGGCCTTTCCTTACATAGAAATATAATATGGGAAGGATGTAGAGAAGGGAGAGAGCACTACAGACTATGATGAAGGAGGGTATCCTGAGGGGGCAAGAGAGGAGCTGGAAATCAGAGAGAAAGTGATATTCAAATAAACACTAGAGATGGAAGCAGGGAAAAGCCACTCGAGGATGGGGTACCTAACATGAGCTAAGACACAGAGGTGGGCATGCACAAGGAATTCTTAGGGGACAATGAGTCATACAATCTGACTGGAAAGGACACTTTTGGACTGACAGTAGTGAAGGATGTGGCTGAGAGGGCTGCGGTGTGAGACTGAATCACTGGAGACAGGGAGCTTTGCAAAGCCCATGAGATAGGGAATGGTGATTACTGTTCCAAAGGCTAAGGAAGCTGGTTTCCATCACTCATTTCACTAGCAGCACCGGCGGGTCTTCACTAAAGTTTCCAAATAGCTAATATTTATTGCCCTTTAACTCCCAATCTAGAACTTAAACCACTAGAGGATTATTTCCCAGAACTTAAAAATAAACTGTCAAGCTCAGTTTACGCAATAGAAATATAAGAGAAGAATATCCTCACTTTTTACACACATACCCGATTTCCCCTATTTCCTTTTTCTCCAGATGACCCCGGGGCTCCACGATTACCCTAGAAAAAGAAAAAGAAATATACAAAGAAGTTTTGTACATCAAGTCACACCAGAAACTTTTTTCACGTAGTTTTACATTCTAGCCAAGAGCAGAAAGTTTCTTTACCATCTGACTTGTATGTGACAGAGTAGATGCCCTGAACAATCCTTCCTTTGAAAAACAGTATAAAATTCCAGATAGCAAAGTTTAAGATACTCCACATACATTCATGAGCTGATAAAGAACAAGAGAAATCCTTCGAGTTCAGAGTAAAGAGAGGGCGCCTGGGTGGCTCAGGTCATGATCCTCGAGTCCCAGGATCAAGTCCCACATCGGGCTCCCTGCTCAGCGGGGAGTCTGCTTCTCCCTCTGACCCTCTTCCCTCTCGTGCTCTCTCTCATTCTCTCTCTCTCAAATAAATAAGTAAAATCTTTAAAAAAAACAAACAAACAAAACAAAACATAGTAAAGAGAAAGAAGAAATCCAGAGAAGTAAGAGCTATTGGCTGTCCTCAGGACTTCTGATCACTCCGTGAATGCAATGTCATCATTTATTTTAAAGTGATCTCAGGAGGACATGCCACCAAGTATGTGGCAGAAACAACCTCAACACAGGCCTTAATGACTTCTCACAGATGAAGTTCATTTAAAAATGAATTTAAATCAAAAGTCACAAAAAAGGGAAAAAAGAAAGAAAAGAAAGAAAAATTTTTAAAAAGGAAAAAAGAGAAAAAAGAAAATCAAATCAAATCAATCAATCAATCAAAAGTCACAACACACATGAGGGAGACACCATGAGGGAGAAGCCAGCAGAAAAAACAGGCAACAAAATCAGATTTGTAATGACTACAGCTATTGGAATGATCATATGCAGAATATAAAATGAGTATATTTCATACATTTAAATAGGTTTTATAAAAAGAATGAGTAAAATAATATGCAGCTGTTAAAAAAGAGACCAAGCAGAATTGAGAAAGAATCAAATAGAACTTCTTAAAATGAAAATCAGAATAATTGAAATTAAAAATCCATTTGACAGGTTAAATGGTATATTAAACACAAAAGACATAAGATTAGTGAACTTGAAACTGGAGAAAATACTCCAAATGCAGTACAGAAAGACAAACAGAAAATTTTATGAAAGAGAGGTTAAGAGACACTGATGATAGCATAAGGTCTCACAAATTTCTAATTAGACTTCCACAAAGAAATAATAGAGAAAATGGGAAGGATAAACATTTCAAAATGAGAATTTGCTAAGGAGTTTCCAAAACTGACAGAAGGCACAAATGCTCAGATTCAAAAACCTAAAAAGCTCCAAGCAGGATAAATAAAAAGAAACTCACACCTGGACACATCATATTGAAACTGCAGAACACTAGAAAGAAAGGGAAATTTTTAAAGCAGCATATTTTTTTAAGATTGCTGACAAGAGTAACAACAATGAGCTTGATGGATACCTTCTTAATAGCACTAATGAGAGACAGAAGACAATAGAAGCCAGAAGACTATGAAATTCCATTTTCTAAGTGCCGAAAGAAAATTATTTCCCCAAGAACTTTCTTTCAAGAAAAATGGTAAAATAAAGAGATTTTCAGAGAAACAAAAACCAAAGGAGTTTATAAACTCCATTAAAAGAACTTCTAAAACTTGTACCTGAGGCAAAAGAAACAAGATCTTTCATGTTCCTTTGAAGGCATCGGCAAAAGTGACAAATATGAGGGTAAAGCTGGATAAGCAATGACTAAGTAAAACAATAATAATAACAATATCTAATTGATAGAATTGAACAAAAATAAATGGGAATAAGATACTGGACAATAACATGTTATTATGGGAGGCAGTTGATTAGAGCTATGTTTCTAGCATCCTTATATTTTGAGGATAAGGGCAAATAATAGATTAACTTTAGGCACTGTTGAGTATGCATGCTAACATTTCTAGACTATTTCATGGAAAGTATAAATAGAGAGCATAAATACCAAGCTAGTAGAGGAGAAACATAGAAATGAGAAACTTTCTATACCTGTTCCCCAACCAAGCCGTCAACACCTTCATCACCAGGGCTTCCCTGTGGAACAAAGGGAGATGTAACTGTTAGAGAAAAGAGGACCAGGTGTACGTGCTTATTGCTTTGATGTTAATTTCCTTGCTAATATTTGTTTTTAGTTGGGAGAAGAATCTAGACCTTCCAAAGTGACATTTATATACTGCATTCATATATTAAGAAACAATGATCATTTTCATTCCCAAAATAGTCACTAGCGTTATACACGGTTTTTCCTGACAGTTTTAGGCTCCAGCGAAAAAGATAAGAAAAAAAAAGAAAATCAAATTTTGAGTGGATAGAAAGAGGGGCGCCTGGGTGGCTCAGTCGTTGGGCGTCAGCCTTCACTCAGGTCATGATCCCGGGGTCCTGGGATCGAGCCCCGCATCGGGGTCCCTGCTCTGCGGGAAGCCTGCTTCTCCCTCTCCCACTCCCCTTGCTTGTGTTCCCTCTCTCGCTGTCTCTCTCTGTCAAGTAAATAAAAAATTAAAAAAAAAAATTAAAGAGAAAAAAGAAAGGCTTTTTTTTTTTTTTTCAACTTTTGCACTGGGAACAAGTAGTAACTCTTTCACAAGACTGAAAGAAAATTTCCCACTGGTTGTCTGCATGTTAAAGATGGTCCTCTTGTCATTGGCTTTTTTTAATTTAAAAAGACTGGCAAATATGCCTGAACTAATTTGCATAATGGAAACTCAGACGATCTCAGATTAAGGAGGACTTAAATGGGAGTGTATCCATATGTATGTATTTGGGGAGACTTACCATTAGAAAACTCCTTAAGAATAGAAAGCCTGAAGCTAACTGGATAAGAGTAAAAACTGGCAGCTGCAGAGTGACATCTCATCAAGTATTCCATTGCTTCCAACTCATAGGCCCTTTGTTTTGCCAACTATATCAGAATGACAGTTATATTTATTATAGGGGTGCCTGGGTGGCTCAGTCGGTGAAGCATCTGCCTTCAGGTAGGGTCATGATCCCAGGGTCCTGCCCTGAGTTGGGCTCCCTGCTCAGCGGGGAGTCTACTTCTCCCTCTGCCCCTCCCCCTGCTCATGCTCTCTCTCTCTCCCTCCAGCTCTCTCTCAAATAAATAAAAATAAAAATCTTTTTTAAAAAACCATATTTATTATAAAGCATCTTTTGGGGGAAAAAAAGTCCACAGTTTCACAAGCCAAATAAAATGCATATAACCATGTGTGGAATAGTTGATTTACTCCTACTATTGGTACGAGGAAATCAAGTTTCAGGCACTTTTTTGTCAGTCTGTCAGCTGTCAGTCTCAGACAGCTGCGATAGTGCCTGAAAACAAGCACACCAAACTCGCAGACTAAAATTATGTGGTATATTTGCCACGGCCATAAGGGTGAATCAGTGGTACCAGGAGACATGAGTAAAGAAGCTCTATCAGCCCTTGTTGTCTTGTTCATCACTTTGTAGACACTGCCAAGGATTATGTGGGGAACAGAGTGAGTACCTACAAAAATATTTTTTGAGTGCATGAATGAGCGAATGGGTACTTTGCCTCTGAATCTGAATGTAAAGTCATTCCCTTACTGTGCCAGGTCCTTTCCTACCAGCCCTGTCCTGGCATCCATCTCCCATTTGATACTCACCTTGACGACCACACCTTGAATTCAGAACCAATGCTTCCAGAGCGTCACGTGACAAATACGGTGGCTCAATTATTATAGATAATTATACATTTTCATATATGTCCCTGCCTTAAACCATTCATTAGCATGGCAGTTTGGCTATTAACATCATCTGACATTTCCCCTCGTCAAAAAGTTTTAAGTCCCACCTCGCTCAAGCAAAGGAAAAGCAAGTGGACTCAGTACTGTTTCCTAAAGAAATTGCTCTCCAGTTTAAGCAAGAGGAAGGAAGGTCACCTACCTTCTCTCCTGAAAATCCTCTTGCTCCCTAAAGTTAGGAGGAAATAAAAAAAAAAAACAACTGAGCTTGAATAAGATTTTTAAACCTTGTTTCACTTAGGACACCATATATTCCTGAATTCCAAGAAAATGCAATTAGTAGACCAAAATGAAGATTTCTTCTCCAGTGACTATAATCACTGGAGACATCACAGCACTCTGATTACTACCGCTTCCCTTTGCCTGTGACTTGGAAAAATTCATATCGGCAACTCCTAACGTAGTAGGGGTGAGTAGAAAATGGCAATGACCTGCCACTTATTAATAGCACAATCATATTTTTTCAAACAAAAGTGAGAATATACTGTCTAAGAAGCATGAGAAGGCTCCCAGGAACAACAGGACAAATTAATTGAAAGAGTAACTTGTTAGAAGTACAGAATATGGTTGCTATGGTCAGAAAAACCCTCTATAGGACTCGGAGATTGTAGAGAAAATTTTCTGGCCTTATTTAAGGAGAGTCTCTAATCCTGGAAGGTTAAGAGACATTTATGAAACCACTGAAAAAGAAGCCCTACCCATTATTTCTTTAGGCTTTAAAATTTCAGTATTCTCAAACCCCCTTCCAACTGCCAGCGCTCAGCAGGGTCTACTTCTCCCTCTGCCCCTCCCCTGTTTGTGCTCTCTCTCTCTCCCTCCAGCTCTCTCTTAAATAAATAAAAATATTTTCCTGAGGGCTTTTTCTGGTACCAGAGCCTGTCCACATGCAATGCAGCTCAGAAGTGCTGGGGAATTAATACCCACTGGGAGCAGCTTGCAAATAAAGCCTGATAGGATTTGGTGTATAAATACCCCAGCTCTCTGCCCCCTTGGATGGGACAACGTTGAGGTGTATGTTCAACACTGGCTCACACAGTTCCTCAGCAGGATTAGGCTCCACCTACCCACAGTGGTAATCTAATTGACGCCATACCCTTTTAGGTCACATTCCTTCCTTAATTTCTCTCTTGTCTTGCTAGTATTTACTGAGATCCCCTCCCAATAAACTATTTGCACTTGATTCCTTTTCTCAGGCTCTACTTCTGGGAAACCCTCAGTCTGAGAAAGAGCCAAGAAACTATGTTGAAGAAGTAAAATGTTCCTCAAACTCAAGGGATAAAACAGGGACAGCGGAAGAATTCCACAGCTGGAGGTTTACACTCACCTTAGGTCCTCTCACACCTGGGCATCCTTCCTCACCTCGGGGTCCAGGAAGGCCCTGGGGGCCTCTTTCTCCCTATGGAATAAAGACACACATGGAGACAGTCAAGCAACCATCTCCATCATCACCCAACCGATTTAAATCAGCAACGATGACCATCAGAATGACTAAAATATGACACTGTCCTTACAACTACTTCTGTATCTTCAAAGGCTTGATCAGATTACCTACAAGACAATCACAATGTCCATCGGTCAACTGCCCATACTGATAACCCCAAATCATACAAATCCGAATTATCTATATTTTTGATCAAGTCATTCAAGCCACATGGGCAAAACTTCAGTATTCAAGCAAACAGAAGGTGTGTCAGAACATTTCCTTCTGGCAGCTAAAATTGGATGAAGGTTTCCTTGTGGTTCTGCAAAGAATCAACCATTATTTAACTCTTTCTCTTCTAGGTGAACTCCTGACCATTCCTAAGGTATAGATCGTATGTCACCTCCTCCTCTAAGAAGCTTTGTCTATTACATTGTGTGTTATTCCCAGTTTCTGTGTTATATTGTTTCCTGCTATTTGGAGAACTTCTAGGAGACAAGGACAATGTCTCTTTTATTTATCTCTAGGTTTGCAGCCCTGAGTACAGTGTCTGGCACACAGCGTACATCCAATCAGGATTTGAAGAGTGACTTCCTAAATCACATTAGTGAATATAACCTTTGATCTAGGTATTGGATAGGGAAGGGAATGGTAAATATCATGCCTTTGCCAAATTGATTAAATGTAAATTAGAGAGTACTATATATCCCATGAGCTTTCATCAAGAGGGTCTACAAATGTAATCTCACTTTGATTTAATGAGGTTGGATGACTTCATGACATAAGCTGCCTGGGATAGTAAAAGAGAACACACTAAAGTGAGAAGCACTTTGGATCAAAAATGAAAGGACCTGGGTTCAAGTCCTAGTTCTGCCTCCACCTTGCTTTTTCCTCCATTTATAAAACGTGGATCTTGGTAATACTGATGCTAACGACTCATAAGATCGTTGTATTGAATGCATGAGACTCTGTACTGAGAGTACTTCACGGGTGCCTGGGTGGTGCAGTCGATGAAGCATCTGACTCTTGGTTTCAGCTCAGGTCATGATCTCAGTGTTGTGGGATCGAGCCCTGCATCAGGCTCTATGCTCAGCATGGGAGTCTGCTTGGACTTTCCCTCTTCTGCTGCCCCTCCCCCCTGCTCATGCTCGCTCACGCGTTCTCTCTCTCTCAAATAAATAAATAAAATCTTAAAAAAAAAAAAGAAAGAATGAAAGAAAGTACCTCACAAATCATACAGATTGGACAAGTGAGGTGTTTTGTACTTAAACAGCAAGAGATAACGAGAAAAGCGCAGGTTCTGGCATCAGACTGACAGGGGTCTGGGCACAACTCCAACCTTCTCTATCTGACCTTTTAAGTCACTCTCTCTGAGTTTTGAACTCCACATCTATAAAATGAAAGTATTAGCACATATCAGTAGGATTGTCACGAAGATGAAATGTCATAATGGGTACGAAATGCCGAACGCAAAGCCTCACGTACGGTAGATGCCAAGTAAATGTCTATTTTCCCCCCTCTTCCTCATCTATCTGCATTTTTAGGTTCAATGTGTGGTGTTTAAGTTTCATCTGGAAAATTTAATTTTAAGATATCGCTTTACTATTTTGTACTACACAGTGTTACCAATCATGAATAATTGGTTATTGCCTTCATTAGGAAATAGTTGCTATATACAAAACAAATGTCCCTAACAAAGGGACACAAAGGGAAAATTCTTAAAGTTTATTTTTAACAAAACAAAACACTCTTAGGATGGCTATTATCAAAAACAAAAACAAAAAGAAACTAGTGTTGATGAGGATGTGAAGAAATTGGAACAGTTATGCACTTTTCATAGGAATATAAGAGTTCAGCTGCTGTGGAACACATATGGTAGTTTCTCAAACAAAAAAAAAACAAACTAAAAATGGAATTACCATATAATCTACCAAATCTACTTCTGGGTATATACCCAAAGAATTGGAAGCTAGGTCTCAAAGAGATATCTGCACACACATATTCATAGCAGCATTATTGACGACAGTCATAAGGTGGAAGGAAGCCAAGTGTCCATTAACAGATAAACTGATAAAGAAAAAGGGTCCTTATACACACAACAGAATACTATTCGGTCTTAAAAAGGAAAGATATTCTGATACGCTACAATATGGATGAATCTTAAGGATACTATGCTAAATGAAATAAGCCAAAAATACAAATACTATATGAACCTACTTAATGAGGACCTATTTTGGTCAAACTCATAGAGACAGAAAGTAGAATGGTGGTTGGAAGAGACAGGCTGGGGAGACGGGGTCATCAGGAATTAGTGATAATGAAGACAGGGTTTCAATTTTGCAAGATGAAAAGCATTCTGGAGATGGATGGTGGTGGTGGTTGGCAACAACATTAATGTACTTAATACCACTGAACTGTACACTTGAAAATGGTTAAGATGGTAAATTTTATGTTATGTGTAGTTTGCCACAACTAAAAATTTAAAAGAAAATTGTGAAGAAAAAGAAAAAAACCTACTCTTATGACTTCTATTCCCAGTTTCTAAAGTTTCAGTTGCTATACATACATAATTAGGTATGAGTTTTCCCAAAATTACTCCTTGGAAAAAAAGATATTCTTAAACTTGAGTTTTCACAAAGTCCTCACAAAGATTCTCATATTTCAGAATACTCTCTCCATTGCTTAACTTTGAACAGCACAGTGTTGACACCCAGTCAATGTTAATATGAGATTATTTATGGGATCCTTATGGATGTCACCTACCAGATCAGGTAAAAAAGAAGGAAAAAAGGAGGTAAAGAAATCTAACAGAGATAATGTATTTGTCGTATTTGACAGTGAGAACTCACAATTTCAAATGTTAGATGTCATGCAAATAAGATTTTTAAAAATCACTTTTCAAAGCAATAGAATTCATGATTACACTGTGAAGACCATAAAAATATTCTCACAAGAAAAATGAGGCAATGGGTTTTTGAAACTGAAAATAAATTTTCAATGACAGACTTTATAAACAGACTTAAAAAGCAGTTTATCTTAGAGATGCCTGGGTGGCTCAGTTGGATAAGCATCTGACTCTTGATTTAAGCTCAGGTCATGATCTCGGGGTCGTGAGATCGAGCCCTACCTCGGGCTCCATGCTGAGCATGGAGCCTGCTTAAGTTTCTCTCCCTCTCCCTTTCCCTCTGCCTCTCCCCCTGCTCTCACTCACCTCTCTGTCACACACACACCCCCACAAAAGTGGTTTATCTGAAACAATTTAGACAGAAGGGAACACAATATACTCTAGAAAACCAGGGAAGGTGTTTCCAAAACAGAGGCTCCAGGAATGCTGGGAAAACTGATATAGAAACTCCATGGGAAGAATTTGTAATAAAATTATTTGATAAAATATGAGAAAGAGAAAATAGCAGAATTTCTTATTATATCACTTTACATAATGAAAGACTTTAAAATGTTCATGTGTAACTAAATAAGTTAAATATTATAAGTAGACATTTGTCACCTATATCCCTCAAAGTTTATATAATCCAATTGGGCAAAAGCATTTTTTAGAATGTTCTCATGAGAAAACAGGAATCACCCTTTAATGGGTACCTATGTCAAATTGTTTTGAAAAAAAAATTGGGCTTACAGGGTTTTTCATTCAGATACTAAGCTCTATCCTGTTTAAAAACTGGTCTCCCGCTAGTGGTTTAAAGCTATCAATCATAGCCATGATTCTGTGGAAAGAATAACATGATCAAAAGCTGTTCAAATGCTAGGCTGGTTCAAGTTATTTTTGAGAAATGAGAATAATAACAGTAATATCTTATTTTGTAGATGAAATGAGGAAATGTATACAAAATGTTTAGCCATGCAACCAGCACATATGAAGTTCTCAACAAATATTAGCTAGTTTTGTTACTACTGAAGTTACATTACTGTTTTGGGGGACCCTAGATAATCTAATTTGATATATAAGGCTTTGATAGGTAACCAATGCATATTTAAACCACCATCTCATACTAGGTACATTTTAAAAATATATAGAATTCATGAGTCTGGCAGATTGTCTTTTCCAAAGACGGCCACAACAAAATCTACAGTGCTCTTCTGGATATGATCTTGCCACACCCCCATCGAGAAGAAGGGTCTAATCCCCATCCCCCATCCCCACCCACCTTGAATCTGGTCTGGAGTTAGTGACTTGCCTGTACCCAATAGAATGTGACAGACAAGTTACCACGTGACTTCTGAGGCTCCCTCAGAAGCTTTGGGCTTCAGCCTTGGTCTCCTGGAATGCTGCTTCTCAGGATGGACTGTCCCTGGTGGGTGCTCCCTCTCAGACCCAGCTGCCATCCCTGTCCTTGGACCACTATGGCCCATCCATCTGCCATCCCAGCCAAACTCCAGAGCATGAGAGAGGAAGTCATCTCTGCAGTGGGTCCTCCAGCTGCCTGGTCAGCCCAACTGAGATTTCAGACACCTAGCAGAGAGCCACCCACTCTTCTCTTCTTAGTTTCCCCACCCCAGAGTCCCTGGCTATAATAAATTGATTGTTGTTTTACACCACTGGGGTTTTGCAGGGGGTAGGAGGGGGGGTCGGGAGAAGAGGAGTAATAAATAACTGGAACAATGAATTAGCTCTTTGTTGTTATATGCTTTCAATTTGAACCTACAAATTATAGCCCCGTTCTGAACCTGCCATCTGCAGAGAGATGTCTCAGCCATTGGGCAGACCAATCTACCTGCTCTGGGGGAAACAACATTAAAAGTCATTCAGGGGACAACATATTTTGCAGTCACCTTCTCTTGTGAGAAATGCAGTAAAAAGAAAACAACACCAGACCCTAGAGCCATTATACACCACACTCGGCTCCTGAGGACTTGCAGAGGGTCTAGTCCAAACTGAGATGTGCTACAGGTATAACACACCCAGGATTTCAAAGAGAGTGTATTTCTAAAAAATATCATCCATTTTTATATTAGTTACATGTTGAAATAATTATCTTTTGGATAGACTGGGTTAAATAAATTACTAAAATTAACTTCACCTATTTCTTGTTATTGTCTTTAAGATGGCTACTATGAAATTTTAAATTATATAAACGTATATATATCACTCACATCATATTCCCAGCTTTGTACTAGAGAGTCTTTATAAACCATCTTGGTTTCAGGATGTTAAGACAGCGGAGAAGGAAGACAAATTTGTCTCTTACTCTAGATGGACAAGGGCTTGGTTTATATTATTTGTCTGGAATTGGTGTCAATGATCCTAATAGGTTGGCCAGACTCTAAATTGTTCTCTTAAATTTGGCCACGCTTATTGAACCATAGGCCAAGCAGACAGAAATAAAATAACACTTATAGGACATTTTAAAACATCATAAAAATGGAAAGGAATATTTGCACCATACCTGAACAAAACAGCAAATACCCACAGCCCACACTTCTGAATGTATTTCTAAAATCTAAGACTATAATTGCTGAGGCAAAATAAAGAGAGAAAAGTTGAGCGATTCTCCCACAAATATAATCAAAGAAATGAATTGGCTTATATAGCTCCCAACAGCTGCATTTCTTTTTCTAATTTCTGCTGATTTTCCAAATTCCAGCAGCCTAAATATTCAAAACAGTAAAACAATGCTCAACTCCAAGGGGGCGATGAGAACATTAAAGCTTGGATATCTCACCAGTTTGAAAAGTATGGTCCAAGGACCCCAGGTCCCCAAGACTCTTTGAGAGGGGGTGCTCAGAAAATTAAAACTACTTTCCCAATTACACAAAGATGCTATTATCTTTTCTTACTCTTATTCTCTCCCAAGTGTACAGGAGAGTTTCTAAGAGACCACAAGCAAGTGGTACCACAACAGACTGAACACAGAAGTGGACATATGAATCCAGCTATCTTCTAATAAGACAACTACTGAAAACATGTAAAACAATGCCACTCTTCTCACTCATCTATTTTGTTTTGGAAAATACAGTTATTTTTCATAAAGGAATGTGTCATTTATATTAAGGGCTTATTTTTGTTATTTGGAAGTAAAATAAATAAATATTTTAAAATTCTTTCCATTTTGGCTCAGGTCATGATCTCAGGGTCATGAGATGGAGCATGGTGTTAGGTTCTGCACTGGGCACAGAGCCAGCTTGGGATTGTCTCTCTCCCTCTGCCCCTCCCCTCCCTCATGCATGCTCTCTCTCTCTCAAAAATAAAATAAAATAAAATTCTTTCCATTTTAATTTCTAACATGGTAAATATCAATGGATAGAAACTATATCAACAGAAGCTCTGATGTCCTCAGTAATCTTAGAGAGTGTAAAGATATCCTGAAACCGAATGTTTGAGAACCAGTGGTGTATACATTTCAGCTTTAAAATAGACACCTGTGGTAAAGTGGTTTTCCACAACTTAAAATTAACTGAAAACCAAGACATTTACAAATCCTTTTGATATTTTATGTTGTAATAAAGATGGGCCCTATTGCATTCCAGTCCCTTAGCTAGCAATTCTCTCTATAATATACATTTTTCCCCACAACCAATCACACGATGGCTAACTTTCCTGTGCCCAGGGATATATCCAGGGTTGTAAGCAAACTTTTGGTGAGTAACTATAACTCTATCACCTTTTTGGTCATTCAGGAAGGCATCTGAGGGATCTTGTTACAAGAATGGCCCTGGTTCTCTTCAATTTATTTTGTTAAATTACTTACAAACATAGCTACCTCGTTAATAGTAACAAAGTACCTGCAATTCAGCTCACGATTAACAACTACTGTTATATATATACTCACTAGACACAGACCACATTTTCAGTTACCTCAAATTCAGGTTAAAATGACCACCCCTCATCATTAAACACCTTTTAGAGACTATATCTTTATAAAACTTGTACACCTAACATTTGTTATAACAAATAGTTATTTTTATATAGATATTTTAAACCCATTTTAAATGGCATAGATGAGAAAAATTTTCATGACTTAAGTGCAATTAAGTATTTCTAATATTTGACCCATTTTACCATATTCCTTCAAATAAAAAAAAAATAAGATTCAGTACTTACATGTCCACCTTCTTCACCAGGATGACCAGGTAACCCATCAGCACCCAGCTTTCCCTGAGGAAAAAAAAAATCAAAAGAAATAACTTGGATTCTAAATTCTTTTCTTAAATCTACATGAAATAAAAATTGTTATTATAGGGGCTTTGGTGGCTCAGTCCATTAAACGTCTAACTCTTGATTTCAGTTCGGGTCATGATCTCACCATCATGAGATTGAGCCCCACATTGGGCTCTGCACTCAGTAAAGCTTGAGATTCTCTCTCTCTCTCCTTCTGCCCCTCCCCACTTGTGCTCTTTCCCTAATAATAATAATAATAATAATAATAAATTTAAAAATTTTTTTAAATTGTTACTGATAGATACCTTTGTCTCACTGAGTTGACATTTTATTGAGAATCAACTAAATGTTGAGCACAATGTATAGGGACATGTAGAAACAAATATTTTTGGCCTGTCTTAAAGTGAAAACTTGAAATACCCGTTTGTCTTAATAGTTGGCATGTCAGCCTGTTTTTATTTTTCCAAAATATCGTTTTAAGCCATTTTATTCTGAAAATCCAAACCAAAACTAGTTTCTAATTAAATGTTTAAGGAACACTTCTCCTCTTAAAGAGATCTTTGACCTTGTTTTTCAAAATGTCAGTAAGCAAAGGTGTTACCATCCATGCTACTTATGAGAAATGGTTGTTTATTACTGTATGACTCAGCTATTTAGTCTCTTCCAATCTCTTTCTCTTCCTCTTTTTTACTTCTTAGATAACACACAAACCATTTCCTCTCAGGGAAGTTTGGCTTGCCATTTATAGCCAGATGTGTTTCTTTAATTTAAAAATGGTCAATAAGATATGGGAGCCATATACTCTTTGGGATCAACAAAGACATGAACATCAATACAACCAACCACTGAATTCTTACAGACATAAAGAGCAGAGAAGTCAATTATTCAAAACAGTCCCATCTTTGACCTTTGAGGCAAAGTCCTTGAGTTGCAAAAACACATATCAAGAGGTTCCCAAGCTTGATTTCCTGATTCTCCAGTCTGATACTTAAGAACAACGCAAGGGGGAAAAAATCTAATGCTAAGGCATAACCTCAATTTTTCTCAAGAAGTCATTATATACTTCATACTGTTCTAAATCAAGATTGATCTGCAAAGTCAGTAAGAGCGCATTCCAAAAACCTCACAGAAAACCTTACAAAGGGAGAATGGGAAAAGATGGGCAAAGCCAATGGGTTTGATTCAACCTTACATGAGGATTTGGGATGATCCCGCCATCATAAAGCTGTAGTTCATGTGTGAAGGACACCTCATGTCCCGCAGAACTGAGGACCATTTTTAATGAGATTTATTCTCCCTTAAAAGTGGGACCTGGTAATTTTGCTATTGCTTCACCATGGAGTTAATAGAGAGATGCAAAGTGACCACTTGTGAGTCAGCGATTGTATCTTTCCTCAGAGTTTAATGCTATAGAATAGAACGTCAGCTCGGAGGGGAAGAGGCAGTGACCAATGTAAAAAAAAGCAGCTGGTGCGTAAGGGAATATTTTGTAGACAAGTGAAAACCTCTGTGCGGTGGTTGAGTATGTGAAATTTGTCTGTGAAATTATTTGTCAAATAAATGTAAGGAGACAGCATAATATAGTAGAAAGAACGTGAGCCTTGGAGTCAGATAGTCACAGGGGCTTAAATCACAAAGTGCCTCTTGGTACCTGTGCGACTTTGGGGAAGTAATGTTCCCTCTCTAAGCCTCTATTGCAACCTGTAAAGTAACATTGGCCTCAAAGGTTTGTTAGAGGGTTGAATTAGCAAAGGTGTGTTAAAGACAGAACACGGGGCCTGGTATGTGGTGGGTGCTGAAAGGCCATCTCTCTCCCAGCACCACCCATGTCCAACAAATTCTCACCTTGCTCCCAGGGTTTCCACCATCACCCTGGTACCCATCTTCTCCAAAACACTTTATATATATATTGCAGCATCTTCTTTCCACAATTGTGTCCTGAAAAGCAGAACTCATGTAACATGATTTTTTTTCATCTGTGTTAACTGTGTCACATTACACACTAAAGAGACAAAATTCCCTCTGGGTTTTTAAAATTATTAGAATGAATAGACCTAGTGAAGGATGGTGTTAAAAAGAAAAAAAATACTTACAAGTTGCTTCAGTAAGATGCTTGGGAGGGATTGCAGTGTGATGCTCAGAGGTTGATTATATATGAATCCTCTGCCAAATTCTAGCTCCTGGAGCTCTTCTAATTTATGCACACCTTCCAGGCCAATAAAGAGGAGCCCAGAGAATCCTTCAAAATACCAGCCGGTGGGAGATTTACTTGCATGTCTTTTGAACACTCTTTGTCCTGGCCCTAGATATTCACGCATCATCCCACCCTTCCTATATCCTTCTTGTCTCAAACTGCATTTCTGACCAATGAAATGAGAGCAGAAGTGACATGTGTCACTCCCTACAAGAAATTTTCAGAGCAGTGCATAATTTGCCCCATTTCCTGTCCCCTGCCACAGGAACAGACCCTCTTTCGGCCTAGGTCCTTAAGTGATGAGAATGAGACTCAAATGAATGGTCATAAGGCATAAGATAAATATATTCTTGCTAGTTTAAGCCACTGGGATTTGAAGCATGAGCCCATCCTACTGATGAAGGCACTAAAAATCATGCGGATTTGCCCACAAAATAGAGAACAAATGGACAAGGACACTTTTCAAATTGGCTAGAAATCACCGTTCATAGAATTTCAGAGTAAGTATTTGTTAATATTTTGAACAGTAAATTCACACACACACACACATACATACATACATCAGCTTTTTGCTATTTTAAACAAGCTACTTAACAATCTTGTGGTTAAAAGAACATGTGTTTACATGTTCTTAGTTATTCCTTAGAATAAATTTCTAGAAATGGAATGCTGATCTAGCACGTAGGCAAAGTTCGCCGTCTTTTGTCAAATACTTCAAATTCCCTTCCAGAAGATTCGCAACATTTTAAACTTCCTATGTGGTAAACCCAGTTGGGAGCAAGTTATCACAGCAAATATTCCAGCACATTGTTAACCAACGGAAAGCATCATCTCAAGAGGAATACACTGAACATACTCTACAGAGAAGGGAGAGGGGTACAGGGGGCTTGGGTTGCTGCTTATTGATCTTGAGTTTGCCTTAGAGCTTTTATATGACACTAAATGCGAGCAGAGGAGCAAGGGCACACGGCTATGCAGGTGGTACTGCCCAGCCGAGGAAGCTGGGGGGCCCTGAAATCCAGCCAGCACACTACTCTTCAAGCCAGGTGCCCAGGCACAGGGTCGCATCCACCCACAGCATCGGCATCTTGTTCTATTTTCACAAAGGTGCCATATAGACTAGTAGCAGCCCTTGGGGGATGAAGAAAGAGGAAGATTGGTGAGCATAGGAGGAAGGAAGGGCAGTGGGAAAAGCGAAGCCCAACTTGAGGGTGATTCCAGAGTTTAGAAAAAAGAGACGTATGGACCCCTTGGTAGCCTGCAAGAGCAAATGGCACCCATTCATCATGAAGTAGGAGTTGCACATTCAACCCTCAAAAGCAGATGCCAGGCTGGTAACTGGTCAGTCCTGTCTCAGTCAGAGTGACCCTTGGTCACTGTCAGGGATATGGGACCCTGGGGTTCTCTCAGCCCTGATTGATACAAAGCATCAGCCTTGTGGGCACTGAACTCCAACCACCTGGGTTAGTCTATGGAAGGCTTAATGGAATCCAGTGCCATCTGGAAATGTGAAAGAGGATCTCGGTCCCTGTGGGAGGAACAGCCCACCCAGGGAAACTATGAGCACTTGCCTTTGCTGCGGAGAAGCTCAGATGTTATCTTCAGTCTCTGGAAATTATCATCCAGTCCGTCTGTAAACACTAAAAGGACCTGTTGTTTATGAGAGAGATGAGGGGAGGGGGGAACAAGGATGGAGGGGAGGAAGGGGAGAGGGGAAAGATAAATGCTGGAAGTTGCACATTTTGTAACAATGCAAGGATAAGCTTAGCTTTTCTGGTTGTATCCAGCCTTTCACCCTGCTTCATTTCACCCATTTGTTACTTTACTACACATTCACTTTTACTTCAATATCCCCAAGGCCCCCTGCCAAAAAAAAGAATTTGAACCAGCTTAATGTGTTCCCTTAAAAATACCTTCCAAAAATGGTCTTACAATACTCACCTTTATCAGTGCAAAAATAGCAAAATTTTAATGCATTTTTATGATTAGAGTGTGTCACCTTTATTCACAGAAAATTTTAATTTAAAAGTGAATTCTATATTTTAAGAAATAAATCCACTGGATGCATGATGGAAGGAAAAACTAAATGTAACTTGCAAAGTTTAGGGATGACATTTCCTAATAAACATCACATAAGATCTTTTCATTTCTGTAGGCTTTAGTGGGTATGTAGTTCTTGGGCACCAGGAAGGGAGGACCACTAATAAGCCATTAGCTAGTCACTAAAGATAGTTCAAAGTGCTGACTGGAAAAATAATGGGCCCTACCCTACATGACAATCAGTGATCATAAGGAGCTAATATCTTCCAAGTTGTCTTTGGAATGAATTTGCACCATGGAAGAATCTGGATCTCTAAACTGTGAGCAACTTGAGGACAGGGATTTGTCCTTTTATCTCTACTGGCATTATTTAGCCCAGAACCTCTAGGGCTTAGTAAATATTTGTTGATTGAATGAAAACATATCCCTTGCTGGTCTTTACTGAGTAAGACTATGGTTTTCCTCTATGTGAAATCTCCAGTGAAGAGCAGTTTATTGGCCTCCGTTACAAAAGCCTTATCCCTCCCACCCTGGCAATTGGTGCCGTATCATGGGTTCTCAGCATTTATTACCTTCACTTTAGCAGAAGACAGATGGATAGCGTGATCTCCCAGGGACTGCAAAAAATCCGCATCCATATAGTTGCTCGTGGCAGTCTGATGAATTAAGAATGCCTGAATAATATCATCGCTATACTTTTTAAAGCCTGAGTCAAAGATAAGCTGGCCATTTGAGCCAGGGACCAAGTAGCGGAACATCAGGTTGAGGCCACCAGCAGCACTACAGCTAATGTTGGAAAGCGAGGCCAACGGTCGCATCACCTCCGGCAGTAACCCTTGAAGCTTCTGCTGAACTTGCCTTGCGGAAGTGGAAATATCAACTCCTACAGACAAAGCTACGTCGCATCCTTCGAAGGTGGAAGAGAAGAAAATCAAATTAGTCATTTATAGACGCATGACTGAGCCCAGAAGACATCAGCCAACCCTGAAAGAAGAATCTCCGGCCAATCCACAGAAATGGGAGCTAAACAATGGCGGTGTGTGTTTAATTCGGTGGATAGCAAAGCTAACTGATACAACATACAGTGTTTCATACCTCTGTTCCTCTGTAGAGCCTAGTCCCTCTACCTGAAGTGTCCTTTCCCCTCTCCTCCATCCCGATCTGGTTAACCCATACATGTCCTTCAAGGTGCAGTTCCAGAGAACCAGCCCCCTCCCGAAAGCCCTCTCTGACTCATGTCCCCAGGTCCTCAAGTTGACTTATTAAATGCCCCTGTATGTCCATGCTACTTTACTTGAACTTCTCTCCCGCTAAACAAAGATTCCTTCACAGTAAGGATTACATCATCTTACTTTCCCAATACCTAATATAGACAGATGCTCATTAAATGTTTAATAAATGAATAAAGAAGGGAATATAAATGAGCCTTGAGTCTCTTTCAGCACATGCTGTACTATTTCCTTCTTCCCCAAAAGTTTCTTTTCTTATTCACCGCCTCTGCATATACCTTATTTCAGGGGAGCATATTACAAAAGATCAAGACTGACAACCACTCCCAATTTTCCGTTTCTTCTACCTGAAAATTATTAAGCCCTCCTGGAAGAGTGTTGTGAGAATTTGAAAACCCACTGATCTTTCAGGCTATACCCACCCACTCACTGGTGAATAATAAGACCGTGCACAAAATTCCGATGGGGAGGCAAAAGTTGGTCACAAATGCACCTGAATTAGAATCTGGACAAATGACTTAAAATGTAACTTAACAGTCATAAAAGGGCCACTATTATTTACTTCTGGACAACAAGCCTAACTCTCAATTGTCTGGGGCAAGCCAAGACATGTGGACATTTTCTCCTTAGACCAGCACACACTGGAGTATTTGGCTCGGAATCAATAAAAACAAAACTGCAGATTTTAGGGGACAAATTTGAAGAAAATAAATAAATACTGGACCCTTTGCCAGTGAAAATGGTCATAAACTATGTCTTATTAAAGTTTCTCAGGGATCTGAGATCCAGGGCTGAGCCATGAGTTTTCCATCCCCTAAATAATACACTCTCTGCTAGCTGGCCAGATATGCTTCCCGAATTGCCAAGACAGAAAATGCCTTCCTCCCCTCCTTTCATATAAAATATCTTGGTTTTGTTTTGACTTTTAAATCTCTAATTGAAATTCACCAAGAGGAGTTTTCACAGATATAAATCCCATTTCTACATCAGATCTCATTTCAGAAAAAAAAGGAATTTCCTTTCTGCAATATGGTATGTTATTCCAACATTTCTAATTTACATTTTCCCCCAGGGACATTTTCAGCTGGCTTTATTCTGCAAATGCAAGAATATGCAAGCATTTTTTTTCCCTGTTAATGTAGAGGGTTGAACCTTGCCAAGTAATCTCTAAGGTCTTTATGATTCAGCTTTATGATCCTAGAATTCTGGAATTAATTAGGCTCCAGCCATTATTGAGGTATGCAGCTAATTTTATCAAAAAATCAAAAGACAAAGCTGAAGATGAATGTAAATCTTAATTTACTATGTGGTACAAAATAATCTGAAAAGAGAAGCTGGAATCCTGTATCTTTTCTCCTTCCTGGAATAATACCCAGGTACATATAAACAAACAAACAAAAATGGACTTTGACTCCTGAAAAATCTGAACTACTTAATGCAGGACAACCCATGATCATGCTTATTTAAAAAATAAATTCACACATCCACTCTTTTTGATTGATTTCTGAATTCACCAAGGACACGGCAAAGTGATATCCTTTACACAGTAGAAACAAAAATATTAATCTAATACTCTAGAAAATTGGCTCCAGCTTTCAACACCAAGGTTCTGGAAAGTTCAAACCCTGACTCCCATTATTTCCCATCTACGTTTCTTACCTCTTTCTTGCTTTTCTCATCTGGGAATTAGGTATCATAGTAATAGTATCTGCTTCACATGGGGTTGGTGTAGGAATGTTGGGCTTTATGGGTTTCCTTATACACTCCTTTATACGATTTCATACTATACTATGCTTTATTATACTATACTACACTTTACTAGGTATTACTATACCATATTATACCATTGTATGCCATCCGATGACATTCTATACTATATCATACTATATTAAACTCCTCTATACTATACTACCCTTCGTTATGCCTTACAATATCATACCGTACTGTACTCTACTACACATTATAGTATACTACCCTCCTACTCAAAGTGTAATCTGAGTACCAGTGGGATCAGCATCACCTGGGAGCTTGTTAGAATTGCAGAATCCCACCCTGACCTACGGAGTCAGAATCTGCATTTCAATAAGAGCTCCAGGCTATTCAAATGCATATTAAAGCTTGAGAGGCCCTCTTATGCTCTACCATGCTATACCAAAAAGCAATGTAGAACAATATCTAGTACACAGACTCTAGATCCAGACTGCCTCAAGTTTAAATCTCAGCTGTGCTATTTACTTGAGCCAAATAACCTGATTTTGCTGTGCCTTAGTTTCCCCAACTGTAAAATAGTATCTATTTAATAGGGTTATGTGAAGATTAAGTGTTTTAATATGTGGAAGCCCTTGGAAGAGCCCCTGGCACAAAAAGGGACCATCTAAAGTTTAGCCATTCTGACTCTATTGTGATTGTGCTGGAGAATCTCACTCCCCGTGTGTAAGAGGGAGCGTTGTCCATGAAGATATTCTCCAGGTCAGTTCTGCATTATAAGGCCAGTCTTGGGGGAAGAGCAGATGCAGACTGTTGGGAGGAAGAACACCTGTCTCTGGACCTTACTGTTTAGGATAAAAACTTGAAGAGATAAAATGGGGTTGAGGATGTCCTCAGCCACATGAAAGCCCCTGGCAACAAAGTAGAGAGGCCTCTGTACAAAGCCACATAGAAAAAAAACTGTGTTCTAGTTCCTAAGAGCACCTATGTACCTGATATTATTCTCTGCTTCTATTTCCCTTCTGGTATGCCCAAATCTTCAGTGAATTTTTCAGTATGCCAAATCTTCAGTGTTTACATATTCCAGTCTGGTTCTTCTATCTACACGGAATAAACCTAAGAGTTGTAAGGACTTTCTAGAGGCAGGTTCTGAGAAGCTTCAGTCCCCTGGGGTCCAGAGTGGTGACAGCCATGAGAACAACTGAAAGAATCCCCAGGGGAAGGTGAACCACAGCATCCAGGGTTCAGGCCCGCTGTCCTCCCCTCAGGGTGACCCTCCCTCCCTCCTCCAGCTAGAAGGATCTGTTTTATTTTCTTAAGAGAGACAACAGCACCCCTGACACTTACGATGGGCTCATGGATCAAAAAACAAACCCTCTGTCACTCACCTTGCGGAATGCAAACCTTAAGAAGAAGTTTCTTCTCCAAGTTCTGCAGGGACTCAAAATTCTCTTCATAGTACACTTTCTGCGGGTCATCAGTAATCTGCAAAAGCTGAGCATTTTTGGCTTCTCCCACCCCAATGGCAAAAATAATGATGTTCCTGTCCCTGAGAGACTTGGCTGGCACGACCACGTCATCCTGGGCAACCCCATCAGTGATCACAACCAAATACTGATGAACACTGGGTCTCCCTCCTCTTGAACTGTCAAAAAAAGGCAGAGTGAAAGTCAGGGCTTTCCCAGTGTGGGTGCCATCCTTCATCTGCTGAACATTTGAGATGGCTCTGTGGATGTCCGCCTTTGAGGAGTATTGGTCAAGCCTGAATTCTTCCTGAGGAGTTGAGCTGAACTGCAAAAGGCCAATCTGAATTTCATCAGCACTAATATCAGCTTGGTTCACCATCCGCTTGATGAATCCCTTCATCTTTTCAAAGTCTTTTGGGGAGATGGATTCCGAACCGTCTATCAGGAAGATAATATCAGCTTGCCTATTCTTACAGGCTGGGGACAAAAGGGAGAACAGAACATTCACTCAGAGTCTGAAACCAATTAATTACAAGTCCCCAGGGACAGTCCAGGGTGGCATATATACAAACGAGAAAATATTTTAAAGGGGGTGGGAGAGGAAGTCAATGAGATAAATTTTCTGTGACCTAGCGCAAAGGAGACACAGCTGTACGATAAAGATAGAATCTAACCAGCTTGCTTCATTCCAGGTCATAGTCACTCTGTGTCTAACATTCCCTTTTGGACCCCAGTGAGTCCACACTTTGAGAATGAAGCCTATTTAATTAGATTCAATACATACACTTGGAGGGAAAGAGAGACTAAAGAAACAACTCTTACTCTCTGAGGAGCAGATGTCCTGGACCACATCTTGTTGGATGGCCTTCAAGGAATCAAACTCAGGCGTGAAAAACGTCTTATCTTTAGCTATCTCCTTGAGCTCCATAACATTAGCATTTTTTATTCCAATAGCATAAATGATGACTCCTTCTCTCCTCAATGCCTCTGCAGGCTCAGCCACCGGGTCTTCAGATTTACCATCAGTGATGATTATGAGATACCAAGGCACACCGCTGCGGGTGGTGTTCACAAAGACCTGAGCCATGCTGCTCAAGGCCTGACCGGTCATGGTGCCACCTTTCCTCTGCTGGATGTCATCAATGGCTGCCTTCAGTCCTGACACACTGGAATACTGGTTGAGGATAAACTGAATATCAATTCCATCTGAGTACTGAACGACTCCAAACTGTACTCTGTCAGGCCCAATTTGGAACCTCTTTATCGCCCCATTCATGAATGTCTTCATTTCGAGAAAATCATCATGGTTGATGCTGCTAGACCCATCGACAAGGAAGTAAATATCGGCCTTCTCAATGTGCACACAGTCTAGGCAATAAGAAGAAGGAGCGACCCATTAGAACGGGGTGTGAGATAGCACGTAGCCAAAGCTATTCATCCTGACCCCACGCATATGCTCTCAGCTCTCATTATTCCCTTGAGAGCCAACAGCTTTCTACTGAAAGCACCTGTGACTCTGCTGAGGGATACTGTTTGACCAGAAGCCTGATCAGCCACACAGCAGGCAGGCCGAAATGCCTGAGAGTGAGTTTGGAAGCAGCCACCAACCAATGACTGAGAGGGGAGTAGTGGATACGTACCCAGCTCCCTTGCCCTTTGGGTAGGACAACTCTGAGGTGAACTCTACACAATTTCCCTGAGTCCCCAGCAGAACTGAGCCCCAGATGCCTACAGCAATTACCTGCTCACTAATTCAGCCTCTGTTGGCCACCTTCCTTTCCTTTCTCAAATCTCCATGCCCTTCCTTACCAGTATCCCCAGGGGGCACCTCCCAGATAAATCACTTGCACCCATATCCTTGTCTCAGAGTCTGTTTCTGGTGAACCGCATTTCAGACATGAAGTAAGTAGTACTTGGCATTTCTCAAATGGGGAAGTTGAGGACAAGCTAAAGTAAAATATCAGGACATGTTTGAAGCTAGGAGTTGTCTGAGTCCCCAGTATTCCTGTTTCCCATGCAAGTCAGACTTCTTAAAATATGGGCAAAAGAGTACACTTTCTGAAACTTAATTAATTTAATATAAACCTTTCTGTTTTAAATGAGCCTTACTTAAGTGAATCACTGTGTATTAAGGCTTAGACTCCAAAGAGTAAAATGGCTCTACATATAGATCCTTTCTCAACCACTTAGTATCCAGCCTTGCCCCTTTGCCTCTCCATTTCCTAACCTGTCAAATGGCAATCTTAACACCTACTCAGTAAGATTATAGTGAGAACGAAACAAGATCATAGAAAAACAGCAGAGCTGAGTATTAAAAATTAATGATTAAGATCACCCATTGTCACATAGCAGAGTCCTCAAAAAAAAAAAAAAAAGACACATAATTTTCTCCTTGCACCTCTCAGAAAATGCGGTCCAGCCTTGTGTTTTTAATCTCTGGACTCCCTCGTCCCAGGGAAGAATCAAGAGCTTTTCATGTTTCCTGGTTGAAAGGGAAGGGGTCTGAGGCAGCAGATGGGCTCCCTTGGTCAGGTCTTTCGGTTGGGAGGACCTTGGTCTGCGTGATACGTAGGACAAACTTACACTTTAAAAAGTATTTATTGTTTATCTGAATGAAGTTCAAATGTAACTGGGCATCCCACATCATATCTGGCAATCCTACCCTAGTGGGGCAGGCATTGGAAAGGGGTGGGACTTGGAAGGGTGTGGAAAATAGTTATCCACCTCCCTGGTAGTGTTTGTTGAATGCTTGGAGACTCGAGGGGGAAGTTATAGAAAAAGAAGGCAAAAATTCAGACCTTACCTGAAGCCATCACCCACTGATAACAGGTAGATGCCTGGCCCAAGTCTGAGAAAAAGACCACTGGGCAGGGAGAGGCATCTCTGGAGCCAGCCCCATGCAGCAGTGGTCCAAAGCAACTCCACAGCAGCCCAGGGCCTTTGCACGGTCCAAAGGATCCCAGAGCCCTGAAGAGCGTCTGGCACTACACATTCATGCCAATCTTGGCAGATGGAAATTTGAGCCAGGAGGGAAGAGAGAGAGAATAATTTTTACAGCCTGGAGGCTGCTATGCATCCATATCTATTACATACACAAAGTGCTTAGCAGAGTATCTGACACATAGCTGATGAGTAATAAATGGTAGATATTAGGATCTAATGGTCATCCAGGACAGATTTCTGATAAAATTGCCCCAACTTCCATTTACCTTTAACCACTCTAGATTTGGGACTGATTTTCCTGATTCCAGGTTTCATTTTAGCTGCCATGCAGTCTGGGAACGAAATCAACTCTCAGCCCTTATACAAGTCTGTGAATTAGAAGAAGAGAAAAGGAGGCTTCTCTCCTTCTTCCCTACAGATTATAGGGAGGGGGTGCACAAGGAAATGAAATTCATATTTAATGATTTTGTTTCTCATTCTCAGAAAAGAGAAAGGGATAAAAAAATACAGGCCAAAGCAAAAGATGGGAATTTATTTAGATATTTTAAATCTCTAGACCTCAGCACAAGTAATGAAGAAATTATAAGATTATTTAATGATTGTTTAAAAAAAAGGCTCAGTGATTTTCCCCTGAAGATATAATCACAGCCTTGAATTTTGAGTTAATTATCTACATTTCAAGTAGTCAACTTCTATTATCCTGATTTGAATCTTAGAAATATTAACATGGGTGGACAAAAATAGACAAATGAACAGACAGACACAAAGACACTTACGATAGCCAGTAAGTGGAAAATTAGGGATTTAAAATTCAGACAGTTTGACTCCAAGGTGCATATACTTAACTGCTATATTTTCTCTGGTGTTTTTTTGAAACTGCATACACAGTAGGAGCTCTTCTAACCAACTTTCTCTTAAAAGGCTCACCAGATAATTGACTTCCTCCCTTCACATCAGTAACACATGAGGGATGCTCCCACAATATGCCGAGTGCCCTCCCCCCTGGGAGCCCCCAAGGGTAACACAACACAGTTCTGCTTCACTCAGTGGAAGATGTGAAAATTAATAAAGGGAAACATCTCTAAAATGAGACCAGAGAGCAAAAAGGGGAACTCCAACGCCCTACCACTTGTCCATTTCAGGCCCCAACAGAAGAATCCTCAGCAGGAAAGAATCAATTATAGCCCCAATACGAAAAACATGAATAATGCATCTCCTACAAGAAATCAACCGCCCCAGCAACTCAGCCTCAGAAACTGCCACCACTCTGAGCTCTTGCATTTTTCCAATGGGCTTTCATTCGAAACAATCCCTCCCAATTTCTTCCTTCTCAATAAAATAATATTCCTCTCCTTTGTTTGCTGGACTCACCTACTGTTGTTGCTATAGCTTGCCCGTCCTGAATTGCAGTTCTCCGCTGTTCCCAAATAAACCCATTTTTTGCTGGTAAAATAACTGACTGTTTTATTTGTAAGGTCAACAAAGAATAAGCCTACCAAGAGTAACATGGGTTTGTGCTCAGCCTATTTATGGAAGTTTTGTTACTACAATTACACAACAAATCGAATATTGTACAAATCAATAGGATATGAGTGTGAATAAAAGAGGTTTATTATGTCTATGAAAACCAGGTTAACTGCTTAGAAAAGACACAATAAAAGCAAATTGTTTTAAAGGAAGTTGTTGGTATGCCAGATAGTGCTACAAACACTGAATTTTTGAGACCATAAAAATCAGGATTCTATACTCAGATTATTTCAAAAGTGGCTAGCTTTTCTTCCCACTTTAAAGAAACTGAAACTAGAAATTATAGAAACTATACTATTGGATGTGTGATGAAGAAAACATACAGAACTCCAATCAGCCGGGCTCATATTCAAAGAAGCCTTGGCTCTACATAAAAGACTGGTAAATTAATGTTCATTTATATTTTAAGTTAAAATTTTTTTAATTTCAAGAATGTTCTTATCTTTTTAGAAATAATTTTCTACTTCAAGGAGCTTAAGATTTAGTAAATCTATACCTCGATCCCTAAGGCTTCTACTGTAAATTATATATATTTTCATCAAACTGATAAAAAGGGGGCACCTGGGTGGCTCAGTGGGTTAAGTGTCTGCCTTTGGCTCAGGTCATGATCTCAGGGTCCTGGGATCGAGCCCCACATCGGGCTCCCTGCTCAGTGGGGAGTCTGCTTCTCCCTCTGCCTGCCGTTCCCCCTGCTTGTGCTCTCTCTCTCTGTCAAACGAATAAATCCTTTTAAAGAGAAAAAATCTCAAAAAATTTTAAAAACTAATAAAAGGGATGAAGGCTAAGATAGGAAGAGGGAGGAATGTTCACTTTTTACTTCACATTCTTTTGCACTGTTCGGAATCAAAACAAAATAATGATTTTATAAGTTTTGTGTTCTTGTTTTTTAATAAACTGACTCCAAAATCTTTCCTAGGATAAGGAGTAGAGGAGGCAGGTATATGGAACAAGCAGAGTAAAGATTTAAAAAAAAAAAAAAAAAAGATGAAATTTGGAAAAGATCTCCTACCTTCTTGTGGAGCCTGGCCCATCCCAGAAATGGAAACACCTTTGTCCACAGTCTCAGGGCAGAGTTGGTTCTTAATCTTGTTTCCCACAACAGAGAGTTGCAGAAAGGATTCCAGCGAGATGACATGCTTCCAAGGAGGATATGATGCTATATTCTCCAGGTCCTTACTCTCTGAGGCTAGGTGGGTGCCCACCGCGTAGATGGCAACCCCTGCCCTGCGGAGGAGGGAAGCTGGCTTGGACAACTGGTCTTGAGAGAAGCCTTCCGTGATGACCACGGCCAGCTGCTGCACACCGTGTTTGAACCGGCTGCCCCTCTCCTCAATGAAAACTTCGTTCCTTAGGAAATCCAAAGCAGCTCCAGTCTTGGTCCTTCCACTTCTTCTCCGGTAGGTTATTTTGTCCAAATACTCTAAGATTTTGGCTGGGTTCTGAAATGCATCCAGGGAAAACTCCAGTCGTGGTTCCTCACTGTAAAAGACCAAGCCAATTCTCACACCATCTGGACGAACGTTTAGAGAGCTGACAGTGGTCTTTAAGAAGCTGACGACCTGTTGGAAATTTGGTTGCCTGTCCCAGCTGAATTCCTCAATGAGAAAGACCAAATCAGTTGGGATAGCCGTCGGACATGCTATAAACAAAAACAGAAAGCAAGGCTTTAGCATGAGAACAGAGTAATAAAGACAATACTCATTTGGTACTATGCTATATTTTTATGTTGTATTATGCTACATTTTTATATACTATAATAATATATGTAGTATTACAAACTCTAATAAATATGTCATACTAACTTATATTAATGAGTTTTAGAATTTAGTGGAAGCCTTTATGACCAGTATTTGGCATGATGGTCAGAGAACACAGGTTTCGTACTTATCACAGAATTTTTCACTGGGAAGAGTATTCACATCACTTGCAAAATACGTAAATATATGCATATCGACAAGAAAGTGCTTTAAGATCATTTTTTCAATTCGGCAAAGTCCATTAGAAGCATCTGAGCCAGGCTTGACTAGTTTTTTTTCTTCATTTTTCTAGTTTCAGGAAACACTAAGTCAAATTCTCTATTATAGGCCTAAAACCTCCTTCATTTAATAATTTTTCCTCTCCGTACAGATGCAAATAAGAAATTGTGACTATTAACTTGTGCATCTTTCTCTGATAACTCTCATGTCACTTCAACAGAGGCAACATGAAATATTGCAAGTGCCTATGAAAAATCTTTGTCCACAAATTGGGCTAACTGGCTTTTTCATTCTGCTATAAAGAACCTTCACTTGAACCTGCCTCAAATGGGAGAATGGAGCTGTACCTGCCTAAACTCCCTTCCAAGAGGAGTGGAGACGCCTTCCTCCAAATTTAAGACAGTGCCTAATGCAGGGAAACCCACTGTGTCCACACACCAAAAAGGTCCAAATCTGTTTTGACATATGAAAACAGAAATCTCCCTAGCACAGAGCCAAAATCACACATGCAGAAGGCTGAAGCCAAGGTATAGACAGCGGAGTCCTGTTAAACAAAGTTTAGAGAGGCAACAAAATCACCTTCTGACTTATCTTTGGCCTCTCGAGGTCCTGTAATTTCCCTTTTTTATAAAGAACCAAAAACAATCCTAGATTTAAAAAGAGTGTTGCCCCTGATTTTGCCAAGTCGAAAACACTTTCTAGAGAAACTCCAAGCATCTTTGACTTCTCCCTTCCTTCACCTGTTAGTACCAAGTGTTATTACAGTTGACCCTTGATCAACATGGGTTTGCCCTGTGCTGGTCCTCTTACACGTGTGGGCTTTCTTTTTAAGAGTTGGCACCAAAAGCCACAAGGCATTTATTTACAACTGCCCGCCCAAGTCTCTACAGATACAATCAAAGGTGCCTACTAGCCTCTGAGTACGAGGGAGGCCCTCGGAGGCCGTCAGCAGCCCCCAGGGCCCTGGGACTAGACAGGGCTGCAGATTGCCCTGTGTGTCCGTGGGGTGGTCAGGTAAAGTGCCAGGGCTGGGGCAGGAGGCTGGGCTGAAGCAGAGGAACATGCGCAGAGGGCAGGGACGACACTGTGCAGGAAGCCCTGAACCCCTGGTATACCCATACCCTCCCACTTGGTTCTTCGCTCACCAGGGTCTCAGACAGACCCCTTTCCATGGTGGTGCCCCTGCCCCTCCACCTTCCGGAGGCCAGTGCACTCATGGAGGGCCACAGCTGCCCATGGCCACAGGCTAGAGCTACACCTCCAGGCAGATGGGGCAAGTGTACTACACCTCAAGGCTACTGCCACCAGCCACGGGCCCACCTGGCAGCTGCCTCTACCAACTAGAAACCACCAGGCTGTAGAACATCGCCATTCCCATGCCAAGCCTACCCTGTGCAGCCGTGGCTCAGCCTGCCTATATGCAGATTTGTTCAATAAATATATGTACAGTACTATAAATTTATTTTCTCATCCTTATGATTTTCTTAATAACATTTTCTCTTCTCTGGCTTACTTTATTAAAGAATACAGTATATGATACATATAACACATAAAAATGTGTTAATCCACTCTTTCGGTTATCTGTAAGCATCTGGTCAACGGTAGGCTATTAGTAGTTAAGTTTTGGGGAAGTCAAAATTTACATGGAGATTTTCAGCTGTGGGGGTAGGGTAAGGGCCCCTAACCCCTGAGTTGTTCAAGGGTCAACTATATTCTCCTTTCAAGTTGTCTTCAAGATTCATTCCCTTTCCTCATCATCAGAGCCACCATTGGTCTAGACCCAGGTGGCTCCTCCATATGTGGATAGATGACAGCTCAGCCTTACAGTCTTTCTGAGTCTGAGGTGTCATGTGGAATTCAGCCTGCCCGCTGAAGCCTTCCTTAAAGACCATTTTGGTCATGTCATTTTTCCTGCTTAAAAGCCTATAGTTACCTCCCAGGGACTTTGAGACCCTTGGGGTCCATTCTACCTCATCAATCTCATCTCTCACTACCTCCAAACCCTCCCCCCTCCTCCAATCGGTTCCATTTTTTTCACTTTCTTCCACATTCATCCAGCCCATTCCCACTTCCACACCCTCACTGAAGCTCTTCCCCTTACCAAGAGTAGGCTCTTCTCTTCTCTCTGTATATTAAGACCATATCCATTATTGAGGGACCAACACAATTCCTCCAGGTCAGATTCTCCATTACCTCCCCTCCCCTTCTATTCTACTTCTACTTAATGTAATGTCCGTAAGGGGCTTCTTAGTTTCTTATTATCCCTGCTTGGATTTTCCTCATCTTGTCTCACATGTGTTTGTCTCTTCTGACTATAAAATTCCAAGGACTTTCAAGCTTTACATGTTGAGAGGTCTGGGCAGAGTTATGATAGTTCAGAGAAAGGAGGAATTTATCCCTTCTGTTGTGAGGATCAACCAGAAGCTCTGCCAAGAGGAAAACTTAACTGAAGGATAGTGTTTTGTCTGTGGGCATTCCAGGCTGCTGGTACGGTGTATTCAAGGGCAGAGACAGTGGTGGGAAAGTATGACACTTATATAGCAAATGGTGAGCAGTTCAGCTTGGCTAATGGTTAGAATGTATAAAGGGACTTAGCAGGAGATGAGGTCCAATGGTTCTCATCCCCAGGGGACATTTTGAAATATATGGCAGCGTTTTGAATTGTCATTGGAGATGCTACTGGCAGGGACCAGGAATGTTAGACCTCTGACAATGCACAGTACAATCCTACACTATGAATGCCTCACTCAAAATGTTAATAGCACCTCCCTTGAGCATTTTGAACACCAGCTTCTCTGGGGAGAAGCCTGAATGCTCCTTCTCCTAGAAAAGGCATATGGTAACTCGAATTATTGTTCAGAGATATTAACTCCCTATATCTCACTTCTATGGGGGAAACATACTTTCTTACGATGACATGACTATATGACTTGCTTGACCAATGGGATGTTAGCAGATGATGAAGCAGAGGTCTTAAAAGTGCTTATGTAATTAGGTTTTCTCTCTTGCACCTCTGCAGTTACCATGGGAATAATGTGTCCAGACTAGCCTAACAATCCCAGGAGGAAGATGAGAGCTATGGAGCAGAACCAAATGTAGATCAACCAACCCTCAGCCAAATCTCAAATCTGTGAACAAGCTCAGGCAAGGTCAGGAAAGCCATTCAGTTGAGCCCAACAAAGATCAGCTGATCCCCAGCAGATCAGCGAAAATAAATGATTCTTCTCAGCCACTGACTTTTTGGATGGCTTCTTATGCAGCCTCACTGTGACCACAGTTAACTGATATAGGGTGTATGCCCAAGGAAGCCCCATGCCTCCTCCTCTTCCCCCTGCACTGGTGCTGGTATTGCACTACTGAGGAATCCAGAATGCCCCCCTTCTCTGCTCTTTCCCCCAGAGTTTCTGAGACCTCCCAGCGGCTCACACATGTAGGGACCAAACCTTACCTACTACAGGCTCCTTCTCAGACGCAGTCCCGAGCCCGAGCTGCCCGGTCCCTTGGATCACCACACCCACATCCTGCATCAGCTGTCTGACTCCATCTTGTCCTTGCATCTCATATACAAGGGGTGGGGTTGCCATCCCCTCCAGTTCTCTCCTGTCAAAGTCCTGTACACCCACAGACATGACTTTCACGCCTTTTTCCCTCAAAGTCTGTGCGGCATCCCAGACCTCATCCTCAGATTTGCCTGAGGTCATGACCACTGCATATTGCGGAACACCCTGGAGAAACCGGCTTCCTGCTGCCTCCTGGAAGAAAGTCTGATGAAGATATCGCAGAGCTTTGCCCGTCCTCCTGGAGCCACCCTGGAGCAAAAAGTGGTCACGGACATGGGCAATCATCTCATCCCGGGTCTGGTAGGTATTGAGCAAAAATTCCATGTGGCCTTGATCACCATACTGAGCCAGCCCAATCTGGTACTTGTCCCTGCCAACATCCAGCAGGTCAATCACTCTGGAGATGAAATTCTGCATCCACTGGAAACTGGCATGTGATGTGCCCTGTGAGGTGTCGGCAAGAAAGACCACATCTGCATAAGCTTGGGTGAATTCTGGAATTGAAGAGAGGAGGAAGAAGGAAAAGACATAGAGGAGAAAGTAAATCAAATCAAGATGTCATGAAAACTGAATACAAGGATGCAGGGAATATAAGAGGGACAGGTACTATAATTATGTAACAATGTGCATATTATTCTTCCACCTCCTCTGTGTAAACCAATCACAAGACTCTCTCCCTCTTCCACCCTGCTGTCTTTGTTGTCTGCTTTATTAGACTAAAGCACCTCTCACCTATTCTTCTTCCACCAATGGAAGAGGCAAGGGAAATGGATATATGTGGAGCAGTTATTTTGTGCTAGCAGTTTTTATACACATTATTTGATTTAATCCCCATAAGCCATCCTACTAGGCAAGTGTTATTATCTTCACTGTACAGATGAGAGCATTGAAATGAAGAAGTAAAGCTGCTTGTCCACTCTCACCTAACTAGAAAGTGGCACAGGCAGGACAAGAACATAGGTCTTCTGGACTTCCTCTGAACAACATGGCAGGATGTCCTTTTCTACCCATGAGAACTGCATTCATTCTTCAACCCCCAGCTCCAACGTTCCTTCACCTAGGAAGTCCCCCCAGGTTCTCCAGAGATGGCAGCCAGCTCCTTCTCCTGCCCTTCCACTATACTCAGCGCATCCCGGCTCATACCGTAATTAGGTGTCCTGGTTGGAATGTTGGGTTTTGATGCAGCTTCTTACCTTTTATCTTACCCTCCACTGCTGAGCACAGAGTCTGAAGAATGCCTCCTGAGAAATCCTGAAGGGTGTTGAAGTTTTCGATGTTGAAGAGATACTTCTCAAATGGCTCACTGGCTATTTTTTGCAATTCCTGGACATCTTGGACATTGACCCCTACCACATAAACAACCACTCCATCTTCTTTTAACTTGTTAGCTGCCTCCTGAACTTCATCATTTGACTCCCCATCTGTCACCAGGATAACTATCTGAGGAACCCTGTCCTTGGCCCGGCTGCCAGCTGCCTCAGTCAAGTAGTGCCTCCTGATAAACTCCAGGGCACTCCCTGTGTTTGTGTCTCCTGTACGGTAGGGAAGATTCTGGATCTTCTCCAGGACCACACTCTTCAGAGGGTGCTGGTTCAGCTGAAAGGCTGGGTAGATGTTGTCATTATACTGAGCAAGTCCCACTCGGACCTGGTCACTGCTGATGTCAAGCCCCAAGATGACAGAGTAAAGGAAGTTCTTCACTTTTTGGAAGTTCTGGGGTCCAATGCTGGTTGAGCTGTCTACTAGGAAGACAATGTCTGCTAAGACTGCCTCTCTGCAAGCTGCAAGAAAGAGGACAAAAGTCATGGAGTCTGTGAGTCTTCACTCAAAATGCTTAGAACCAATGGGGCTGGATGGTGTACAGAAAGGAGAGCAGGGCCAGTCAGACTAGACTCTGTGGTCCTCAGATACCCTAAATGACAGTGCTCAGAGAAGTGACAACATTTTTTGTGCTTTTCCTTCCCTCAACTCCATCATCTCCTGAGGCTTCTGTCTTGTTCTACTGATACGTCTAATCTTGGAACACACTTGGACAATCCCTTGAATCTCATGAAGAAGAAAACCCCTTCTATAAATGTAGTAGCATGCTGAGAAAGGAGTTGTCCTCTTTCCGGTGGTAATAAACTTCATCTCTACAAGAGTACTGGTACCAACAGGTCAGAAAACTGGAATACATCCTGCATTCCATTATACACATCATTGTGGCTCCACCACTTAGGAGCCCTGTGACCTATGTATCACCCACCTTTCTGAGACTTGGCTTTCTTCTCTGCAGCACTGAAACTTTTATACCAGCCCTCACACTCTCACAGAGTTGTTTGGAGGATAAAATAAGATAATCTACTATAGCAGACATTATTTGTGCTCTGCCGAAGTCCTTTTGAATTCTTTGTTACCATTTCTGTACACTGTACGTTGGAGGACTTCCCTTCAGCTACTGGAGCTGCTTTGCCTACAATATATGAAAGCCTAGCTGAAGCATAATTTATATTCCTGAGCTCTCCTGCAGGATCAAGCTAAAACTACCCTCTGGAACTTTTGCCTGAGATCACATTTTTCCTTTCTTTTCTCTACTCTCTGTCCTGCACCCCCCACATCCTTACCAACCCTTTGGGAGCTCTTCCATAATAAATAATGTATATCCATATCCTTGCCTCAGGCTCTGCTTCTGGGGAACACAATCGATGACACTTGTCCTATTGGAATGCATCTGGTCTTAAGATCCTGGGATCAGATCCTAGCTCTGCCATCCAGTTATATTACCTTTGGCCTCAGTTTCCTCACTTGAAAAATGCAAATAATAATAACACCAATTGCCTTACATATCTATGTAAAAGTAAATACTAATTGCCTTATGTACCATACACATCCCTATGGGTCTAACAAAGAATCGCCTTATGTATGTATCTATCAGTCAGTTGGGCAATGTAAATAGGTTTGGCAAACTATATAGTACCAAGCAAATGGTAGTTAGGATTACTAAGTATATAAAACCTTTTTGTAAACCCTGAAGTGATACACAAAAGCAAGGTATATAATTTGGTTGTACAAACGCAATGCTGCCACCATACACTTGCAGCATCAAATGGGTGAAAAGTTTTAGCACCTCTTCCAATTTACCTGCCTTCTGTAGAAATGCCACAATAATGAATAAGTAATGAAAACCACTAGCAAGCTTCTCTTCCTCTGCTCAAAGGTCTTTGCTTTCTCATAGAATTAAGTAATTAACTCATAAAGGACTTCGGCAAGTCTCTGCCCCATCACCACTGACAGACGTACAAAGCTAATGAGTTAGATCATCACAGGTAATGATCATAATGCTATCACCTCTGATGGGCTGAGCACTGCGATAAGCACCTGACTTGCATAATTTTATTTAATGATTTCAACAACTCTCTGAGGCAGGTACTACCATCCTAGGAAGAAAACTTAGATTCAGAGAGATAAAGTAACTTGTTCAAATTGACACAGTTAAAAAGTGGAGAAGTGGGATTTGAACCCAGACCGTACTTTCCCCTAAATTCATGCTCATAACCAATACTTTATACCAACACACTGGCAATAAACTAAGCAAAAAGCAAGCTTCCTGGAAGATCTGTTGCCCCTCTCCCCTCCTCGACCCCCCATCCAGGCAACATGGATAAGTTCAATCTAGGAAGAATATCATTCTAGGAACAAATATTCTTCCTCCAAAAATGGACTTCCACTACATCTGCATATAGAACCAGCATATGGCCCATGATATTTATTTAAAAAGATGGTAAGTCTCTGGTCAATGATTGGAGAGGAGCATAGAGCACAGATAGTTTAGTGAGACTGTAATATTAAAATTCAACATGCATACGTATGGAAAATAAGGAGGACAGTGGGAGAGATGAAGAAGAGATAAAGCTTTGAGCTCTGTGATTTCTAGATCAGAAACAAGAAGGGGCAAGTCTTCTGTACCTGGAAAGACGTTGTCAACAGGCTGAACTGCCTTTGCCAAAGTGTCACAGAGCTGTTGCTGCAGCTTCTGAGCATGACCGCGCAGATCAGAGAAGTTGGGAACAAAAGAGGCGAACTTCTCCTCAGGACTGCTCGCAATCTCCTTGAGCTCGGCCAAAACCGCATCTTTGACACCAAGGGTATAAAGCCGGACGCCCGCCCTCCTGAGGGCCTCGGCGGCTTCCCGCGCACCGTCCTCAGCTGGGCTGCTGCTGATCACCAGGGCCGTCTGAGGCACGCCCTGGCTTGCGCGACTCCCTGTTGCTGCCTGGAAGTGCTGATCTAGAAGGAACTGCAGGGCCAGGCCCAACCTGTGGCCCCCAGGCCGAAATTGAAACCTTTGAATGTGTTTCAAAACATCGACTTTGCGGGGGTAGGTGGAAAGTAGGAATTCGGAATGGGGCATGTCGCCGTACTGAGCCAGCCCCACGCGGATGGTCTCTTTGCTGACATTGAAGCTGTTTACCATGATGTACAAGAAGTTCCGCATGCTGCGGGTATGTTGGGGGTAGATGTTGGCGTCCACTAGAAACACGACATCTCCCACAGACGCTTCCCTGCAGACTGGGGAAGAGAGTCAATTCAAGATAAAACAGCACAAAGTTGACAGCTTCTGGCAGTGACTCTATCTCTCCCCATTCGTTGCCTTCACAGCCTGCAGATCGGCCTGCACAGCTCTTTGACAATAGCTAATATGCATCTTCCTTTGCTTCCTCATGGCCACCATCTACCCTTGTTCACCCGCCACTCTCTGTTTCATTCTAACAGACATCTGACCCCTTCAGTGAGATCCCTGACCACGGCCCTCCACCCATCCCTTAAACTTAATAAAAGAAAATATTTTCAACCAGTAGAGGATGCTTTTGGTGCCCCGCCTAGATCTTTGCTGGCTGGCACACCTGCTTCAAGGGCTACAGTTAACTGCTCCCCTCTGACACTTGGTCTAGAGACCTGTCCATGCTGAAGGGAGCAGAGCAGCCACATCTGGAGACACCTGGAAAGTTATACCACCTGGGTGGCCAATGGTCAATCATATGGGCTTACAAGCACCTGGCCCCCTTGCCTTACTGAAACAACTCATGGTGCCATTTATGTTCCAGCATCTTCCATGGCTCAGGCCAAGGCTGGATGTTACCTGAGGCTACATCCTTGCTTGGCTTCTTCACCCCTAGCCTGTCTCACTTCTCTTATTCCCTTACAGGTCTGTCCTAAAGAGTACTCCCTCACAATAACACATTCACCAAATCCCTGTCCCAGGCTCTGCATCTAGAGAAGCTGACCTAAGACCTCTGCTTTCCAGCTTTGACCTCTGGCACTCCCTAGCTACCACCAGCCCCTTTTAGTTTTATCTCATGGCATTACCATAAGCGTGGCTCCCATTTGGCTCCTTTGGCTCCCTGAACTCAAGCCTGCACTGTACAACTACTTCCAAACCCAATTCCAACCCCGGAAACACAACCCCAACAGTGACCAGAGCGAGTGGTGCTCCAGCTGGGCCCACCCTGGTCTCCAGCATGGAAGGGATCAGAAGCCAGCTGACTGCAGGACTTGAGCCAATAGTTCATATTTCTGCTTCTCAGATTGCATCTCTCTACTATAAGGGCTTGACCAGATGACCTGGTCTCTTCCAACTCAAACATTGCATTTCTGTGACAAGAAGTAAATACACAAATTAAACACTGTGCTCGTGCAGACCAAAAAAAAGGGAAGAGGTGATAATGATCTCTCTGTTTGTCAGTAACCATCATGACATTTCCCCCACACTTCGCAATGTGATTGTCCGTGCTGATGGTAGGAGAACCCGTGAATCAGTGATGAGAGAGAGGAGAAACCAAAGCAGAAACCAGCTGAAGAGGATGTTAGTTTCAAGTGGCTCAACAACCAGGGAATGAGTATCCCACGCTGGTTAAATACATTATGCATTTAGCCTTGTGCCAGGAGAGTTAAAATACTGGCTGGAGCTGGCCCCACACTCACTCTCCCCGCTCCATTTTGCTCTCCGTGGTCCAAGCTCCATGTGGCTCCTACATGCTAGTCCATCCACTGAGTTTCTTTCCCTTTCTCTCTCTTTTCTTTTTTTCTAATAAATTCCCATAGAATCATGTTCTTTTATCTTGGTTTGTAATGTAACATTCATCAATGTGCTTATTCAACTAATGGCGATCTCCCCAACTAGACAGTGGGCTCCATGCAAACAGACACTGTATCTTTCGTTTGTTTGTCCATCACTCAGGTGTCTAGCATAGAGTAGTCACCCAAAAAAATATTTAAGGAAGGAAATACTCGGGAATGAGAGAAGGAGAGAGGGAGGGACAAAGGAAGAAGATATCACAAGAATGGAAATATTGAACATTAATGAAACCAAATAAGGGAATCAGAACATTTTAGAGCTAGAAAGAATCCTATGAGATAATGTAATACAATACCATAGCCACGAGGCACATGTGGTGATTGAGTACTTGGAATGTAGCTAGCACAAATGAGAAAATAAATTTAAAATTTTACTGAATTTTAATTTAATTTAAATAGTCACATGCGACTAGTGGCCACTGTATTGAAAAATGCAAGTATAGAAGAATGTAAACCAAATTTACCCATCTTGCAGATAAGGGAAATAAGACCTAGAAAGCAAAGTAACTCACGTAAATCAGTTCGAACAGCCAGTATTAGAAACCAGGTCTCCTGACATCCTGTTCATACTCTGGACTGCCATAATGAAGATTAAATTAAAAATCCATATTATAGGAAGGCAAAGACCTTGTAAGAGTTTAGGCAGAGAAGGGCTGACGAAGGGTGGTATGCTCTAGGGACACTGAATCACTTCTAGGTTCCAGAGTCCCACTTCTCAGGAGTTTGCCTAATCTTGATCATAAAGCCAAGTGGAATGATTATTGAAAAGGCAGATAATAAATGAGCTCATGGCCCTTTAAGCTTTACTTCCCTTTGGTGCTCCAGAATGCAATCCTGTTGAGAGGAAAGAATTCAGTGAGTGCTCCAGGGATGGCTGCCTGGTTTGTCCCCTTAACATCTCTTTCAGAAGAAATCAAACACAGACTTGAGAGTGTTTCCGTGATCTTTCCGAACAGGAGAAAACTCACAGCTGTGGAACAGTTTTCCAGGCAAATAAGTATGGGTTCCCTGATGTGCACCTCCAGAGATGTATTACCTTTTCATACATTGTTACTTTTCTTAACCCCTCCACCAGCCCTTTGTCATTTTAGGACGTGTTCGAAACATGAAAAGACTGACTGTCCGACTGTCACAGCTTCTGTTCACAAGAGCGGGGAGTCAGAGCTGGAGGGAAAATTTAGAGAGCTTCATGGGGTTTTTTTTTCCAACAAATAACAGTGTATGTAATTATATATAAATATTTAAACCTCAATACTGTCTCAGTGGGGCTTCGAGCTACTCAAACAATCTTCTCTTCATGAGACTTTCAGCATGAAAAGTCACAACAATCTGTTAAAATGACTGCAAAAAAAATTCCAGAGGTGTCACTGGCGTTTAGCGAAGCTATCCATCTCATGATGACAATTACCTCACAGAACAGCTCTGCTAAAGGAGACAAAGCAAAATGCGGAGTCAAGAGAGCAGGCCGATGTTTACAAAAGCATTTGAGAGCCTGGTAATACATTCAGAAGTATAGCATTTTTTAATAGCTATTTTATTTATTTATTATTTATTTATTTTTGTCATTTGAGGTTAAGCTTTGAAAAAAATCAAGTGCCCGCTGTTCACTAAAAGCTTCTAGATTCTAAGCTCTCCTGAAAAGAAGCATTTCCCTTCCATTAATTATGAAGCTTCTGTACTATTTTCTTTTAAGATTGTCACTACCATAGGTCCCTGGCAAGGTCATCATTTTTGGCTTAGAGAATCCGATGCATTACCAATTCTCTGTGACTTGATGAAGCCAAAACTAGCTGCAAGAATGATGAACTCCCAAAACGCCTTCCAAGTCTCCATTCTGGATATGGGCCTAGGGGAAAAAAAGAAACCTCATAATTAAAATTCTGTCTTCATACATTTTAAATGAGTGCATCATATCATATGTTAATTATATCTCAAAAAGTTGATTTAAAAAAATATATAGAACCATGTCTTTCCCCAGACCAACAGAAACTTGATACAAAATTAAGGGCTTATTGCTACATTGTTTCAATTATTCAGGGAAGATGGTCTTGCTAACCCAACTCAGGAAGAGTTTTGTAAACACCCAGAGTGTATACCTCAGACTTCACTGTTTAAAATTGTCCAGATAGGACTATAAAAGGATAAAGCATATGGGGCATGGGTAGAATTTCTGTTTCACACACTGAATTCGTTTGGTGGAACATAAACATTTCTGGATGATTTTGCTTGTATTTTTATACAAGCATTGGATGACCTTATAAATATTTGTGGCATGCAGAAATATTCAAATATCTCAGGAGCACATCTGCCTGATAAAATGAGGATAGCCTGAAAATATTTTATATGTTCCCAGAAGAAGCCAAATATCAGACTTCCCTCCCCTAAACTTGGATTCATTCCTGAAGGCCTCCATGAAAATTATCCAGTCCCAATTCCATTTCTGCTTTTTTGACTCTAAAGAAGTCCATGTGTTTAAAAATAAGAAAATCATGACATTCACATTGAATGAGGTTTCAACTGGAACAGGGAACACCTCCTCTTTATCTTCTTAGCCAGCCATCCTCAGCATCCTCAGGGGGTTAAAAGTAAGGATTCTTGATAGACTGTCTGAATTTGAATCCCAGACCCACTACTTAATAGTTGATCTTGGGCAAGTTGCTTCACTGCCCTGTGTCTCAGTTTCCCCATTTATAAAACTGGAACAAGAATGACATCTACCTCGTAGTCTTGCCATCAGGATTAAGTGAGCTCATTACTGTAAAACACTTCAGCTATGCCTGATACATAGAAATCACTCTTAAAGTGCTTGTTAAATAAAATAAGTCTTCTTGGATACCCACCATGAAGTAAAGAAGTATTGCCTCTAATTTGAAACTCAGAATCCATAGAGGTAGACGAACACTAATACTCTGCATTGTGCACTAATAAGGAAGTTATTTTGTTTTGTGTGTTTTAATTTATATTTTTTACTTAATTCATTTAATTTTCACTCTCAGTTGATTGCTACTTTGTAAGTTACTATGCTGGTATCTCCAGGTTCTTCACTTCAAACCTGGAAAAGGCCAGCAGAGCAGACCTTACTCAGCTCATCTTGTTGATGGAAATGAAGAAATCGGGCCCCAGAAAGGTTAAGTAGCATGACAGCTACACGGCCGTGGACTGCCAGGCTCTGTCCCATGTAACCCGAGTCCAGGTACAGCGCACGACAGGAACTCTAACCCTTCAATGAAAATCCCCAAGTCCAGACTGTCACTCAACTCTCCAGAGCCCAACTCATGTAAAATGAAGACCTGTGAGCAATTTACAGTGGGGTAAAAACGTGAACTCAAGCCCTAAGTTCCCGTATCCACCAATTGGTCTTCACAGAGCACAGTTTTATGTGCAAAATGCTGTATTTGGGTGCTCCAGAGAATGGAATTACAAACCTAGCTTTTATGTTTAGAGAACTGAACAATCTATTTGGGGGGAGGAACTTTACATACGAGAAACACTAAGAAATTCAGGAAACTTTAAACGCATACTGTAAATGCATCAAAGAGTTTAGGTGAGTATCCTCATTGTGTCTACATCACTTTGCAGTCTTGGGCCCTTTAAGAGGAACATTGTATGGAAATCATACCATGATGCCCAGAAATCCTAGCTATCCAACAACTGAAGCTCTCTTTCCAGAAAGTGTAGGTGGAGGGGCGCCTGGGTGGCTCAGTTGGTTAAGCAACTGCCTTCGGCTCAGGTCACAATCCCAGGGTCCTGGGATTGAGCCCCGCATCGGGCTCCCTCCTCAGTGGGGAACCTGCTTCTCCAGCCGCTCCCCCTGCTTGTGCTCTCTCTCTCTCTCTGTCAAATAAATAAAAATAAAATCTTAAAAAAAAAAAAACAGAAAGTGGAGGTGGAGCCATCCTATTTCCCTAAGGACACATTTCTACTGTGCATGCTTAATTTACTACTTAGAAATGACTCAAGGATGTGAGATAACCACATCTATTTTACTATTTTATGGTAACAGAAAATACTGGGAGAATCCTTGACCTCAAAGGTCAAGCCTTAATTCTGGTGTCAGCTTGACCATTTGCTTTGTGGACTTGAGCTAGCCAGTTCACCTTTTGAGGTTTATGTGAGGACTCTCAAGGGCTTGATACTGATCTGGGACACCTACTACATTGCCCACTATATTACAAACACTCTCCAGGGTATTGGTCCAATAATTTTCCAATAATAGATGTGATATAATTGGATTTCTCTGTTCCTCAGTTTCTACATCAATCTCCCACTAATGCCTCCTCATGAAGGTATATAGGTAATTTGAGGGAAGATACTTTAAGACTGTAAATATCTTATTCCCCAATAAACTCTCATCTAATGGCAAAGTGAACGAATGCATGATCATAAAGAATAGAGCTTGAGAGTAAAGAGCTTGAGAGTTTGAAAGTGCCAGGAAGTATGATCCAAAATAAATTCAGATGTTATGATTATGATTATTATTACTATTGTTACAATAAAATACCATACCGTAACTTTTTAACTCTTGGATTAATAAAGTTGGATGAAACAGAAAACCTTGAAATAGGGTATCTACATTTTCATATTCTGTTATATCCTAATTATTAGTATTAATGCAACTAATCACAAGAAATGAGAAGTATTTTTAGTTAGTTGTAAATAAAGTACCAGAGCTTTTTATGGAAATCTAGTGGAAAAGCCAGAAGTTTATAAACATTTTACAGCTGTGCATATGTGTATTTACATTGATGAAGAGAAAAAGGTCTATAGATTAAGGACTTAATACCTATATTTTATATACTATTTCATGAAGATGTTTATATCTAATTTAAGCTGCTGAAGGGGTTTTGCATTTGAATATGTAGGGTTCATTGTCGAGGCAAAAAAAAAAAAATGAAGCCATTAAAAGAAGAGCAATTAGGTAGGGCTAGCATAGAATACTGATTCTTTCTGGAAATAATTCTAATGAGTGTGGGGTAGAAAGACACTTCTCTCAAAGTATGCTGAGAGAAGTCAAATAGTTCAATAGTTGACTAGGACAATCTATTTTCTAAGACTGATTCATTCAATTAAAAAAAATTATCTTGCAAGTAACCACCATAGTAATAATTGATTCAGGGGAGAATCATCAAATGAAGCTAAAACTATTGGGTAGAAGCATATTGGGGAACAAGGTTTTAACACAGTCTCAAAGTATCTCCTAACAGGGGCACCTGGGTGGCTCAGTCGTTAAGCGTCTGCCTTCGGCTCGGGTCATGATCCCAGAGTCCTGGGATCGAGCCCCGCATCAGTCTCCCCACTCTGCGGGAAGCCTGCTTCTCCCACTCCCCCTGCTTGTGTTCCCTCTTGCTGTGTCTCTCTCTGTCAAATAAATAAATAAAATCTTTAAAAAAAAAAAAAGTATCTCCTAACAAATTACTTGTAAGTTACAAAGGGCAAAAAAGTACTTTTACAACAGAGAAACATGGTGGACATGATGTAACCAACAATGGTAGGCTACATCAATATCACATACTTCTTGATGTGATGCATGAGAAAACTACATCACTTATATGGTAGTTCTCCTCCAATCCCATGACTTAAATCTAATAATGAGGAAACAATCATATACACCAAAACTTGGAGAGAGTCTAAGAAACAACTGACCTGTGCTCCTCAAAAATATTAATGTCATGAAAAAAACAAAGAAAAGCTGAGGAACCAACTGAGGTTAAAACAGTCTAAGGAGAAGTGGCAATTAAAGGCAATGAACAATCTTGGATTAGAAAAAAAAAAGTCTATAAAGGACATAAAGGGAGAAAACAGGTAAAAATTTAATATGGACTGAATGTTATATAATAATTCTGTATCAATGTTACATTTCCTGAGTTTCATCATTGTGTTGTAGTCATGGAAGAGAACGTCCTTGTTCTTAAGAAATATACATAATATGAGGCAGAGGGTCTTGAGGTCACCCACTTACTCTCAAAGGTTCAGCAGAATTATAATAATTCATAGAGAGAGGAAAAAAGTATTGCAATACTCTTGCAACCTTTTTATTGAGTGTTTACTGTTTACCAGATAATATGCCAGGCACTAGAAATAAGATGAAAGAAACAGTTCTTCTCTTGAGAAGACTTGGAACTCTAGTGGAGAGAAAGAGATGGATATATTGTAATATTGTGGGATGAGCAAAATAATATAGAAATCTGTACAAGGTGCTGAGGCACACAGTGGGTGAGCATCTCTCTTCACTTGGTGAAGGCTTCACAGAGCAGATGATGCTGGAGTTGAGATCTAAAAGAGGAATAGAAATTTACAAGTGAGCAAGTGGAGAAAGGGAATTCCAGGTATGGAACAGCACGTGCAAGGACTCAGAAGGGGTATTGGACAACCCCAAATAGGGCTCATCCAAGGCCTTGAGAGCTAAAGTTTTGGAGTGCAGGGAACCTGGGCAAGCCTTCTTGGAGCTCAAACACCAGGTGATGCATAAGCTCTGAGGGCATACATCTAATGGAGACCTTTGGTTTTCTGACATGCATGAACTCAGAAAGTGGGATAGAAGAGGGGACCTGGGTAGAGCTTCTCAGTCTTCAACCATAAACCACCTTCATGTCATTTAATTAAACTAGCTGTGCTTTATATACCAGTCTCCTTCAAGTTTCCTGTTCTCCCTCTATTGACCCCTCGAAAATAAAATGAAAAGATGCCATCTTTAATGTCCTACGCCAGTGGTTTTTAGATTGAGCATTGTATCAGAATCACCCAGAGGACCTGTTAAAACCCAGCTTCCTGGACCCCATCTCTAGAGTTTCTGATTTAATAGGTTTGGGTGGTGAGAACTTGCATGCTGAGTG